ACATGGTTGGAACCTGAAATAAGTCAGAAAGACAATTACCGAATGGTTTCGCACATTGTGGGATATAAAGGACCAACGCAAATAAACTGGGAAAACACAACAAAAATAACTCATAGATTGTGAAAAATATGGTGGTTACCAGAGGGGTAGAGAAAGGGGTTTGGGAAGAAAGGGGACCAAATTTGACAGTGTAAATGGCACAAGTACTTTGGTGATAGGTGAGAGAAGCATATATACATACTGAAGTGTGATGCCATACTCCCCAAAATGACAGTTTTATACACAAATGGTCAATCAATAAATAGAATTAGAATAAATAAATAAAATCAAGGGCCTCCCTGGTAGCGCAAGGAGTTAGTCTCAGCACTATGAAGCTACTGGCAGCCGCTGCAGCATGAATTCGATCCCCAGCCAAGGAGCTGACCCACATGGTGCAGCAGACCTCTCCTGTCTAGCTCGCTACTCCCCTCAGCAGTGTATTTCAGTAAATCTGCCTGTTCTGCTCCCCACTCTGTCTCCGGTGAATCCTCTTAACCTCCCTCCCCTCACACCTCTGGCCTGTACCCCAGCTCCTACATGCATAAATAAATAAAAAATAAATAAATAAATAAAATCAAGATTCTTCCACTTAACAGAGTTATACAACAACTATTTGTGAATGTCAGCCATGTTCCAGTTACATACTAGACACAGCAGTGACCAAGACAGACTGCCTCTGGCCTGTCAGGCACTAGCAGTCAAGCAAGGAAAGCAGGCAGTAAACAGCCACTTGGAATAACTATGGTCAATGCAAAGAGAGAGGGAGTATCAGGACCCGCATGAGCACATTGCAGAAGGCTTTTAGAAAAGCAGCAGAGACGGCTGGCCTGGACAAAGAATAGCGGTATCACCTCAGTGCTGACCAAATAAAAATGCTTCACACACTGATACACAGTAAGTGCCAATTTTACAGTTACTGAAAAAATTCCTTAGGGGGTTGAAGAAATACACTTATTTAATCTTATTCTCTCTCTCTCTCTCTCTCTCTCTCTCTCTCTCTCTCAACTTAATCAGCTGACAAGGCACACAAATGGAATGAAAAAGCAGAAGAGGTGAAAATACAAAAAAAGAGAATTTCTATGGTATGGTTCCAATTCATATCTTTTCTCATTAGACGCACTGGGGGCTGGCACAGGAAAACTGCCATCCAGAAATTGCCATCCAGAAAACCACTATTAGCTGACAGGCATCTCATCCTCAATTTGAAAGTAAACTAGAAACAGAGCTCCAAATCAATTTGGGGAATCTTGCACTATTTACCTGTGAAAGGAGGTGAGAGTTCAGTTGCACAACTGAGTAACTAGAAGCCTTGGCAACTGAAACACAATCAAAGTGAAGTCTGACAATTAAAAAAAAAAAATTCTGCTCTGAATGCACTCAGCACTATAAATACCATTACATTTGATAACTACCTTTCATTAGAGAAATATATTAATAAGAACTGATCTAAATCGGGCTTCCCTGGTGGCGCAGCGGTTGAGTGCTGGGTTGCGAAGCTGCCCGCAGCCTCTGCGGCGCCGGTTCGATCCCCGGCTGCTCCCGGGCCGCCGGGCGAGGGTCCCACATGGCGCACAGACCTCTCCTGCTGCCCGCTGCTCCCCTCAGCAGTGTACTTTGATCCTTCTGCCTGTTCTGCTCTCTCTCTGGCCCTGGTGAATTCTTTCACCCTTCCTGCGCTTCTGACTGTACCCAGTGCTTGTATAAATAAATAAATAAATAAATAAATAAATAAATAAATAAATCTTTAAAAAAAAAAAAAAGATAATCCAGGGGCCTCCCTGGTGGCACAAAGGGTTAAGAGGCAACCTATGAAGCTATCCGCAGCCACTGAAGCACAAGTTTGATCCCCGGCCAGGGAGCTACCCACATGGCACAGCAGACCTCTCCTGACTCACCCAATGCTCTCCTCAGCAGTGTACTTCGGTCAATCTGCCTGTTCTGTTCCCCACTCTGTCTCTGGTGAATCCTCTCACCCCCCACACCTCTGGCCTGTACCCCAGCTCTTGTATGTACAAATAAATAAATCTTTAAAACAATGATAATCCAAAGAATACTTAGGGAATATGAGAAAATATTTACCTACTATTCACACCCCTTAAATAGAAAAATTTTACAATTTTTTTATTTGAAATTATTTTTCAAAATAGATACGGGCTAGTAATGTGCATAAAAGACTGGATGAAAATATAAAAAAACGAGATTTTCAAAATGAAATTATGGGTGAAAATTCTGTGTAGGATTTACAAGTTTTCTTAACCCATTAAAATAATCATAACAAACTTTCTCTACAGAAGAGCATTTAGTGAAAACAACACTTATTTCATTACAGTAAAAACATGTGGGCCAGTTCTGATAGCAGTTCTTTTCCTGGCCGGAATCAGGACCATGGTAATTTTTCATTATGTCCCTGGGGCCCAAAGGCCCACACACATCTGCAGGAAAAAACTTTACAGTCTCTATTGCATATTATAAAATACATTTTCTTTCATTAAACACTTATTTATAGAGACGCTACAAAGAACAACTGTGCTAGTTTTATAGCAGACTGTTTTCAATGGTGAAATGCTTACTATTAATAATTAGTTCAGTTATTAGATTATTAAAAGCTCACAAATTTAAAACACTATTCATTAAAATTTAGCAGTGAGCATTCAACAAATATTTACCAACATTTAAAATTCTGTTGTAATAAATCAGGTTTATGTATAGGAAGTGTATTAGTGAAATAAGAGAGATCAGAACATTCAAAGAATTATTCCTACAGCGAAATTCAGGAGAAAGAATTATTTCTTATAAAGACAGCAAATGCAAGTTTGAACTTAGAATTATGACTTTCCTGCTGCATGAGAAAACTATACTATAATGGTGTTGTACAGTATTTTTGAGAAAATAAGAAATAAATTTTCAATGTAAGACACCATAAAGTTAGTGGATTGCTTCAAGCTCTATGTTAAGTGCTAAAAAAACTTTCTAAAATTTTATATAGTTAAGCAGAATCATAACTACAGTGAATTTCCAAGTCTGGTTTTTTTTGGCTTTCTTGTACATCAAATTAAATGATTAATAGATAACAGTTTATTGGCCTAGTTAGCCACAAAAGCATGTTATGTTGGTAAGATTTTACATGAACAAAAACAAACTTTGACTTTTACACCAATTCTGAGTCAAATAAGTGCATTTAGAAGTTACTATAATTTTTAAGAATCACATTATTAGTTTTGACATAATATTAACTAACAAAAACTGTTCTTAGGGTCGTTAAAATATACAAACCAAGAGTGCTTTGGAATGTGTATTCCTAATACACGGGGAATTGTTAGGACTCTGTATCCTATTTAGTTTCACTTCTCCCTTTCTGAGTCAGGGCTCTGCTTTGCCAGCTGAAAATACTTATGTTTACATGTTTGTATTCAAACGAAAAATTGCAAATCCACCAAAATCATAGACTGCCTGAAATAATAGTAGGAACAAAGAATAATGGAGACAAATGAAAACAATGGATGCCCACCACGTTAAAAAAATGTGTTCAAGAGGAAACTTTTTTAATTAAAAAAAAAAAAATCAGCATTTTTCAAAGCTAAAATATAAATTAAAAACAATAGTCAAATTCTTTAGAAAAATTGAATGAAGAATTTGACAACCCAAATTCATACCCACAACAAATGTTTCTAGAAATTACTGTAGTCTGAGAGATAATTCTCAGGAAGTTGCCAAAAAATGGTGGCAAGATAATAAAAATTCAAGTATTAAGGTGAATATAGACAGGAATGAAGATAATCCTATTTCAGAAGATCCCTTTGCTGATGCTAATTAAGGTTAAAGGTTTAGAAACTATTCTCTTTACCTGTTTTTTTCCACCAGAAAAAGCCAACCTAATGTTGCTAAAGATTAAAAGAAAAATCCAAGTTGGATAGATTTCTCTGGGCAAATTGTGACCCCAGATTTGAGGAGAGAAATGTCTCTTTGAAAGATCTCTAGGACACTAAAATCCTAGTTTTCTATCCTGTGCTGGGATGGAGGTAGGTAAGTAACCTGCTCATAGGAAATATATAGGCTAGCACTACAAAATTTTCTATCATTGTTAATAAAGTTAATGAGTACAATCCAAAAGTAATTTTCTGCAAAAAATAGTTTTCCCCCACTTTTCTCAAGGAAGTGTGTCAAATCTTTCACAGACAGTCTAACTCAAGAATGCTATTCTCGGTTCCAAGTGAGATTATCACTGAAAGGCTGAAAACCCATTCATCTGTCCATTTTCTTTTTCATTTATAAAATGAAATAACTGTTACCCATTTCACTGAGGACACAGTCATTCAAATTTTTTTAATAATTTGAAAGATAAGAGTAATTAGTATAGGGAACATCGACTTGTAAGGACTCATGAATTTGGTAAAAATGGAAGTGAACCACCATATTAATGGTTATCAAATCTTTCCTAAATATAACAATTGGATTAAATAAACAATTTGGATTTCCAAAATAACAATTGGATTAAAGTATAAATGTCAGTCTGCAGATCTTCCTTGACCAAGAAGGACTAATAGGTTATGTCCTGATAAACCCATTATAAATTGACAACACAGTTAAGTTGAAAATGCATTTAGGGGAGCCCAGCCTACCTGAACCATGCTCAGGACACTTACATGAGCCTATACTTGGGCAAAGGCCTCTAACACAAAGACCAATTTATAATGAAGTCTTGAATATTCTGTGTAATGTACTGAATACCACACAGAATGTGACAAATAGTCTCTAGACTATCAGTATTTACCCTCAGGATCATGTGGCTGACTGGGGACTTCGGGGTAACTGCTGCCCCCCCAGTCTCACTAGAGAGTGTGAAGCTCACACTGGTAACCCAGGGGAAGAACCAAACTTCAAAATTCGAAGTACATTTTCTACTAAATGTGTATCACTCTTGCCCTGTTTTAAAGCCAAAAAATCAAAACAAGGAAACCTACTTGCCATAGCTCCCCCAGCATTCTGTTCTTTGACACCGGGATGTCCCATCAGTCAGGAGGCATTTAGCTCAGGCCATCATCAACAGGTCCAAGGTACCTATCTGCCATGTCCTGAAAATAAAGTAACATCACTTTATTATTCTGGATAGGGTTCAGTCTTAAGACATCTATGTCTTAAAGTCTATGCCTTTGTTTTTTTAAAAAAACATAATTTTGAAAAGAAAATTTAATTTCCTTAGAGAAATGTTAACAGCATCCTCTAAATGCCAAATCCAGTATTAGTAGAAACATAAAATTGATAACTACATTTTAAGAAATTTTATTTGTTTATAAATAACTAAGTAACTATCACACTCTTTTCACTAAAATTTTTCAAAGTGTGACTATACACAGGTGATTACATGAAAATTGAGATGAAGTTGGGAATTTTTGAAAAATTACACACAATTTATGAAAGACAACCTAGTTAAACTAAGAGTTGGAAGGAGGTGTATGTCTATATGTTTACCTCTAAAGCTACTGATTCATGACCTAATTTACTGCGTAATTGCTGGAGTGGCGTGGATTTTTTTTTTTAAAGATTCATTTTATTTATGCAAACAAGAACTGAGGTACAGGCCAGAGATGTGGGGGGTGGTGAGAGGATTCACTAGAGAGAATGGGGAGAAGAACAGGCTGATCTACTGAAATACACTGCTGAGGGGAGCAGCAGGTGAGACAGGAGAGGTCTGCTGTGCCATATGGGTTGCTCCTTGGCCAGGGATAGAACTCATGCTGCAGTGGCTGCCAACAGCTCAACAGTGCTGTCTTTAACCCCTGCGCCACCAGAGAGGCCTATGGAGAGGATTATTAATGTTGGCAACAAACCAGAACAACTTAAACTAGTGCAACTTTACCCCTAAGCCTGTGGTAGCTAGTGGGCTCTCTGGTGTTTAACTATCTTGTCTTTGCTAGAAAGCTATTACCAAATGGCTTTTCAGAATCTGTACACTGTGAAGTATTAAACTGTACAATCAAACAATCTGAAATATATTTTCTGAATAATAAGATTTCTGTTCTAAAATGTTGTGACATATTTCTCACAGTAGTTAAACTAATCAGGAAAATTTAATAAAAACTGTAATTGCTTCTCTTATTAAATAACAGTAAATAATGCTTTTGAAGAGTTGAAGCATTTTTGTTATTTTCTAAGCACTGAAACTTTATTAACCATAGTGAATAAATATTACAGATGATTTCCTCCCACTAGCTTATCCTTTGATTTCTGCAATTATTACAAATTTACAAAGCATCCTCTTAAGTTAAGAAACAATGTAAACATATCAGTCCTCTAGGAAAATACTTCTAGATTGAGTTAAAACTTAGGTTGAAAAGTTACACTCTTCATGAAAAGCAAAAAAAAGCATTTTCCTGGTAGGCCCAGCGAAGCATCCTGCTTCTCTGCAGCCTGGGGTTCTACAGTTCCATTTCTCGGTATCTCCTTGTTCAGACACTCCTTAGCCATTCCTCTACAAGCAGAGAGAAAAGAGCTGCCAAAGAGGAAGGCTATTTTCCAAAATGAATTATTAATATCATAGGAAATTGGTAACCTCTTTGAATCCATTCTTAAAGCCCACAGTAATTGCAAGATGTTTTTACCGAATGGGAGTCTCCTGGGAAGGGCTGATGAGCTAGGTGCAGGCACAGGGCAAGCAGAGGAGCAACAAATGAGTTCCTCAATACTTCTGAATGAAAAGCATCCTTGGCTGGGGTTATTTCAGTTCCTGATAAAGGATTACTTTAGAACTCTTCTCTCTAGCTCAAAGTATCTTTGAAAAATTCAGGATTGGAGTAAAATTCCAAAAGTTAAAAAACATATACAAGATACAATGTAACAGATGAGTTTTCTGGTAGTAGAAGAGGGATTGCCAATAAAGATAAAGTGCTTGGTTCCTGGTTCTTTGGAACCAGACAGCATGGGTTCAAATGCCAGCTCTGTCACTTATCAGCTATGTGGCCTCAGAATGACTTTGCCTGCCTGTGTGACAGCCCTCTTATTTTTTAAATGGGGCAAATGATTGTAACTACTTAATAAGGTACTTATTACCTGTTACTTAAGAAGTAACACATGTACAGTGTTTACTTTTATATGTATTTTAAATGTGAATTTTTCCTGGTACTTTGTAAGTTCAAAATTAGATTTTTCTGACTTATTTAAAAGGCAAAAGACTTGTATAATAGAAACATGAGTATCTGTTATTTAAGATATTAATTTTAAGTTATACAACAAAGGAAGCCTTTGTTTAAAAATTGCTAAATGATGGGGTGGGGTTATAAAATTTGCTAAATGTAAAATATTTTTAAAGTCCAGTTAATAGTCAAATTTATTTTACATTTCATATCTCTAAGCACATTAAGCAATGCTAGAACACATTGGCTTTAACAGGTAGATGTTAATCACTTATTATTTACCCCCAACCCCAAATCACACACACTCTCTTTGACCTTAGTTTCCCATGAATCATTAATGTATGACACATCTAAAGAGGTGTTTCACAGGACTATCAAACCTCAGATATTAAAAAATCTTACAGTAAAGAGGAGAAACAGATTTCTTCTCATTATCCCCCCACTGCCAAGTACGTCTTTTTGACAAATTGGAAGGTAAAAGGGAAAGATTTTGTATAGGAGAAAAGATTTTGTATAGGTAAAAGGGAAAGATTTTGTAATTGTCAAGAGCTTATAAAAACCTTATCTTCCTAATTCCTTTCATTCCTCACAAACACTATAGAAGAAAGATTTTTAGAAAGGGGAAAAGGGGAGTCAGATATCATATGGGAACTATGAAGTCACTAAAATTTAATACAGCGGTTACTTTAAATTATACACACATATATATAGAAGGTGTTATCACTTCAATGTTTTAACTTCTAAGATAAGCTTTGATCATGATTTTTAAAAAATCTAAATCTAAGAACAAAATAAAAATCCTGCAGAGAAAATGATCTATTCTGATTCCCTAAGAAAAAAATTGATTTTTAAATTGTTCATACATCTTTTCCAAAGCATACTGCCATACTTATTTAGATTAAAGGTAAGTTCTACCACCTTTATATATACCTCTTTAACACATTATGGAATATTGATTATATAAACTGCTAAGATTAAGTGTCCTTTATGATCAAAACCTGGTAATTACAAAATTTATATAAAATATTTACTTAAAAAACTTTTTTAAAGATTTATTTTATTTTTATGCATACAAGAACTGGGGTAGAGGCCAGAGATGCGGGGGTGGGGGTGGTGAGAGGATTCACCAGAGACGGAGCGGGGAACAAAACAGGCAGATTGACTGAAAGACACTGCTGAGGGGAGCAGTGGACGAGTCAGGAGAGGTCTGCTGCGCCATGTGTGTTGCTCCCTGGCCGGGGATCGAACTCATGCTGCAGTGGTGGCGGGTAGCTTCATAGGTTGCATCTTAACCCCTTGTGCCACCAGGGAGGCCCCTACTTAAAATATTAACTGTATAAAATGTAAATCTTCAAAATGTAAATGCTAGTATGTATCCTGATTAGCACTCTGAATCAGTCATGCAAATCTGGTTATTCATGACTACAAATATATCAGAGCAAGGAAGATACAATAAAGTGTTTCAGGGATATTGTGATATTATACTGGATATTATTCAAAGGCTGGTCTCATAGTTACTTTCTTTCAGTGAAGAGTAAGTTAAATTACTTTTGAAATTACAGAGGATGATTTACTAGGCTTTTAAGTTAGGAAAAAAAAAGTAGATGTAAAAAATGAATATGCTTATTGGCTACTACCGTAAACAGATAATTTGACATACCTTCCTGAATTTACTGAATATGATTAGTTTAAAAACTAGCTGAGGGGCCTTCCCGGTGACGCAAGGGGTTAACGCAGCACTATGGAGCTATCCACAGCCACTGCAGCATGAGTTCAATCCCAGGCCAGGGAGGGAGGTGACCCACGTGGTGCAGCAAACCTCTCCTGTCTCCCCTGCTGCTCCCCTCAGCAGTGTATTTCAGTCAATCTGCCTGTTCTGTTCCCCACTCTGTCTCTGGTGAATCCTCTCATATCCATACCTCTGGCCTGCACCCCAGCTCTTGTATGCATAAGTAAATAAATCTTTAAAAAAATAAAAATACTAGCTTAGGCACTGAACTTTCAGCATTTGCTAATGTTCATCAAATAGAGTCTTTTGAGTCTAAATTCACAATGCTGCAATGTAAATAAGATTATTTCCTCACTTAGCTACATTTGTAATCCATTTTAGTATTTTAAGAGTACTTCCACTCAAGTATAAAGTCACAATTCACAGCATACTAAGTCTCAACTGTCATCTTTTTTGTGCTCAATTACAAAAAAAGAAGAAAATGTATAATACATCATAACATCACCTTTCAGTCTTGATATTATAATACAAGAGGAAATCTCCGAAATGAATCACTTCACCTATGCTATCAAGTTCCTTAAGAATACAGCTTTACTCACAATTATTGAACTAAAGAACCTATAAGGCAAGAATCATTAAAAGTGAAATAACTGCTACATCATTCATGAACAGCCCTCCAAATGAGGAGAAATAAGCAGCTCAGCTATAAGGAGAAGACATCTCCTAATGAGCGCTCACCAACACAGGCACATTTATGCTTTCAGCCTTAGCATATTTTCCTACCATCTGGCATCAATGCCACTCTGGTTCACCCAGTCTAATCTGTTCAGAATTGAATATAAAACTAAAGCTACAAGCACTTTAGGGAAAACCAAAGAACAGCACACATGTATAATAATGTTCCAAATGTGCAGCTCTCAACTAGTTTATACTTGAAATGTGTTTTTAAATCCATTTCCATTGAAGAGGTTAAAGCTCTTTTAAAACTACTAGAATAGCTCATGGAGTCGGTATGAATCATAGCTGTCAACAGTTACCCAAGTCTTACTTCAGTTCTTTTTTTCTCATTTTAACCTTGATCATTAAAGCACTGGAAGAGGTTCTTTTAAAATAAACTCATTGATAAATGAAATGCTATCATATCTATGATAAAAGAAAGCTTTTCTGTCATCTCACTCCAGCTCTAAAAAAACAAGAGGCTAATCTTTTTTTTGGGGGGTGGGGGCGGGGGCTGGGGAGGGGTGAAGATCGTAAGAGTCCCAGCACTGCACATTTTCCTTTGCATGAAATTAGTCCGCTTAGCCTTAAAACGCTTAAGGGAAGGGGAGAAAAGCTAAAAGGAACAAACGCTCAGGAAAGCCCTTTTTAAAAATGCCCGTTGCCGCATTATTGTCTTGGCGGCCCTCACATTCCTTTTGCTTAAAGCCGAGAGTCAGGACTACTACTCACTAAACTAGAAATCTGGGCACAGGAGGCTAAGATCCCTGTTAGAATCGGTTCCCATTCATTCTCCCCGCTGGCATAAAGACACACGACTTGCTCAGGAGAATTTTTCAGAAACAAAGATCATTTAGGCAGCATCATGCCACACAAGTTACAGCTTCAGACAAAGACTGGGAAACAATGACCGGTGCCCACACGCCGAAAGGTGCAGGGCGCCCGCACGCCGCCCTCCAGCCGGCCCGCAGGGTCACCGCCCCCAGCGGGGCCGCGTCTTCCCAGGCGCGGGCCGCGCGGCTCGCGGTCCCGTCGTCCCCGCCCGCGGACCCCGAACCTTCCCGGGACTGCGGCTCCTCTGCAAGTTCCGTGGAACCCCAACCTCGACACATCGCAAAGTCTCTGTCAGTTTCCCTTTCCTTGCATCCCCCGTCGCTCGCCAAGACTAGCCTCACGGTTTTCTTTGGAGTTGGGGTGCGATGACAGAACAGCCGCGGCACCCCGCTCTGCCCAGCGTCTCCCCTGGACTCCCCGCGCCCCCGGCCCTCGCCCGCGCCCGAACCCCCGCCCGAGCCTCGCGGAGCTCCAGCCCTCAGGAACCTACGCAAAGATAATAAACGGAGCCCCGCCGTGCCCCAGGTTTTGCCCTTTCCTTGCTGTTATCCACAGAGGGGTGAGTGGAGGGAGGGGGGTTCAAACAAAGAATTTCAAGTCCTTCGACCTACAACTTTGGTGTAGATACCCCGGGAAAGGGCATCCCCAGGGCTCTCCTGCCCCGAGACCCCGTCGCGCCCCCTTCTCCAGCCCGCCCCTTCTTCCCCGCCAAGACCAGGAGGGGGCTGCCCGCAGGTCCCCCGGCTGAAAGCAGCCCCCCGCGCGCCCGCACCCCTCGGCCGGCCTCCCGGGCTCCTCCTGAGAAGGACGCATGACACGTCCAATTCTCTTGCATTAACTTCTCCCCAAGTCCCAGGTCTTCCTCAACATACAGTTCTGAAGGGCTCCGCTCAGAGTCCTGCCCCGAAGTGGAGGCACCGCCTGGCTCCGGAACGGGGTGCCCAGCCCTCCCCGAAGTGGGGGACAACCTTGCCCTGAAGGGGTTCCCCGGGCTCCAACCCCAACGCCCGTGCGCTCAGCAAGAGAATCTCTCCACTGTCTGGGAGAAGGGGACCCCAAGAGGCCACAAGCAGCTCCCGAGCTCCCCAGGACCCTCGCCCTCGCTGGGCTCCCCACCCCTGGGCGCCGTCCCCGGGGAGCGCCGGGCTGCGCTCCCCCCACAATCCCAAGTTGCTCCGTCCTCCGAGAACTGGGGCGACTCAGCTTCTCCCTTCCAGAGTCCACCCCAGCTCCCTCCACCGCCGCAGACACCCCGAAAGCGCGCGGCGGCTGGGAGCCGGTCAGCCGGCGGGGCTCCCCGCAGGCCCCGCGCCTCCCCGACCCCCCGCGCGGGGTCCGCTCCGCCACCCGGCGCGCTCCGCCCGGGGGCTCCGTCCTGGGCCCGCCCGCGGGGCCCGGCCCGCGCCCGCCCGCCCGCCCGGCCGGGGCTCTGCGCCCGGGGTCCCCCCCCAGTCGCGGGGTGCCCCTGCCCCGGCCGAGGACCCGGCGCGCGCCGCTACCTGCAGGGGCCGCCGCGCCTCTCAGCGCCCCGCCGCCGCCATCTTGCATTTCCAACCGGCTGCACTTTTCAGGGAGTCAACTCTGACCTGTGAACCCTAAACCCGGAACCGCTCGACGGGCCGGCACTCGGCCGCCGCAGTTCGGCCGGCCCGGCCGCGCTCGGGGGTCGGGGTGAGGGTGCGAGGCGAGGCGCGCGCCCCGAGGCCGACAGGGGCGGGGGGAGGGGCAGAGCCGGCGAGGCGGGGCCCTCCCGCGCGCGCGCCCTCCGCGCGCCCCCACCCCGCTCCGCGCCGGGCCTCGCACTCGCGGACCCCGAGGCTCCCCTGGGGTTCGACCCCCGCCGCTACCGCGGGATTGGCGCTCCCCGGGAGGTGGGGGACGCCCCGCCTTTCTGTCACCGAAGCCCCGCCCCAGTGGGCGGAAGCCCCGCCCTCTGTCAACAGAAGCCCCGCCCCTGTCAGGGCTGGCTCCGCCCACTGTCGGCGATAGCCCCGCCCACGGCCCGCGGGGCCCGTCCTCACGCGCGCCCATCCCGGCGGCGGCCCCGCCTGCGGCAGTTGTGGCCCCGCCCCCAGGTGCGCCCCCTCCTGAGGTCGCGGCGTCCAGGAGACCCGCCGCTCCCCCGCCGGGTGTCCGGGCGTCGGCACCGCCCCGTCCCGCCCTTTCCAGCGGCGGCCGCCCTGTGGGCCGCAGCCCCGCCTTCCCGAGACCCGACTCCGCGGCCCGGGGACCCGCCTCCCGGCCACGCCCCCGCTGACCCCGAAAGTTCGCTTCAGCCGCGCAGTGGAACCGCAGTGGGGGCGTAGCCGCCCTCTGCCCCCCGAAAGCCCCGCTCCCCCCTCGCCGTCTCTCCCTTCCAGCCGTGGACCTCGAATGCCGGCAGCTTCCAAGTCACCAGCCCCAGGGGGGGTCAGCTAAGGAGCGGGCGAGGGGGGTCAGCTAAGGAGCCTGGCGAGGGGGGTCAGCTAAGGAGCCTGGCGAGGGGGGTCAGCTAAGGAGCCTGGCGAGGGGGCTCAGCTAAGGAGCCTGGCGAGGGGGGTCAGCTAAGGAGCCTGGCGAGGGGGGTCAGCTAAGGAGCCTGGCGAGGGGGGTCAGCTAAGGAGCGGGCGAGGGGGGTCAGCTAAGGAGCGGGCGAGGGGGGTCAGCTAAGGAGCCTGGCGAGGGGGCTCAGCTAAGGAGCGGGCGAGGGGGGTCAGCTAAGGAGCCTGGCGAGGGGGGTCAGCTAAGGAGCCTGGCGAGGGGGGTCAGCTAAGGAGCCGGCGTCGGGGGGGGGGGCGGTCAGCTAAGGAGCCGGCTTGAGGGGGCTCAGCTCCCCCGCAATGAAGAAAAACGCAAACCAAAGAGAAATGACTCACCCTCCACGCTCCTCTGCACCGATTCTCAGGCCTGGACGAGTGAGAACTTTTCGGTGCCCCGAGGTTCCCTTCCCAAGCCCCATCCCGGTGTGTCTCCTCTATGCTTCCACGGCAGCGGCCCACGGAGCCACAGTAACCCTAAAATATTCAATTGCTTGAAGCAAAAGCCTGATGGTTGCCATCAATGTGCACCGACTTCCTTGACAAGGATGCTTCGGTCACGTCCCCGCGTGGAAGCAGAAGGCAGCAGAGCTTAGTGAACTTAAAGACCGCAGCTGCAGACCTGCCGTCCTCACTCTCTTCATTTACAACAAAAATGGACTTTACCCTCCTGGAATTAAATTCATAGATAATGTAAACCACTCAAATAACTTCAAGGAAACTGACATTCCAATAACATAAATGCGAAAAAAAAGAGAAAAGTTTATTCTTAAATACTATAATAATAACAATAAAAATAATGAATTTCTCACCAGGTAAATACCTGGCAACAATATGTGAATTACAGGACAAAAACTGCCCCCACGTAATTTCAGTATTGTGTGCCCTGAGAACCTCAACTTAAGACACATCTCTGATGAAGGAAGACTTCAGCTACAGATTCTTTCTCATGAACATGTGTCTAATAACTAGTTTCGGGAGCCACAGGCACTGAGGGAGATGTAAGGCTGCGTCAAGGCAGTATTTCTGTTTTCAAGGAGATTAGTAACCCAGCAAAAAACACCGACATTAAAAACATGAAGCATGGGGCCTCCCCAGTGGCGCAGCGGGTTGAGCGCGGTGCTGTGAAGCTGTCCGCAGCCTCTGCAGCGTGGTTTCGATCCCTGGCTGGCCAGGGAGATACCCACATGGTGCGGCAGACCTCTCCTGTTCGCCCGCTGCTCCCCTCAGCAGTGTCTTTGGTCTGTCTGCCTGTTCTGTTCCCCACTCTGTCTCTGGTGAATCCTCTCACCCTCCCACACCTCTGACTGTACCCCAGCTCTTGTGTAACTAAAAATATCTTAAAAACAAAACAAAACATGAAGCATGGTGAAAAGTAAGGAGATACATAAAGTGACCCCTGCAGGGGTATGGACTAATGAATATCAATTTCCCCTTTTCCCTCTCCCTTCTCTTCCCTCTCTCTCCCTCCATTCTTGCCTCCTTGCCTTCCTTTTTCTTCCTTTCATTTTTTCCTCCCTTCTCCCTCAACCCACCCTCCTCTTCTTTACCACTGGTTTATAGAGTCACCTCCTCTCTACAAGCAGTCTGTCTAGTTCACTGGACAATGCCAGCAGCCCAGAGTCCTAACAATTTAGGGCCATATCCACAGGGCAGTTCTATCCAGGAAAACAGTATCAAAAGCACAGTGCTGAGAACAGTGTCCTCAGTTGAATTGCTGCCAATTATTTGGTGTCCTTGTACAAAGCAAGACTTATCACCACGCCAAAAAAAAAAAAAAAAAAAACCTGGTTGCAGACCTAAGCAATATGAATATATGTTTAGCACAGCAGATTGTGCCAGCCCACATAAATCTGTTTAGAGATCATGTTCACAGAGTAACTTGTTTTTATTAAAATAAACTCGTTTGTAAAAATTGTAAATATGACTGATTTCAACAGCTGTGTGGCTCCAGAAGTAAGTTTTTGCCCATGGATTGGCACCATTAGAAGAGTCTAGATTTTTTATGCATATGTTTTGCGGTTTGTCATACACAGTCTGGTATGGCAAACCTTCAGCGCTGTTAGAGGTGAGAAGTCATCCAGCAGGTTTTCAAAAGTACAGGACTTTTGCTATTCAGAGCTTCTTCCACCTTTGGAACAGTGAGAAAAAAAAGAAAAAGAAAAATATATATATATATTTGTAGGAAATGAAGAGCTTTGAATCCAAAGTTCTAAGCACTGGTGTCATCCTAAAAGGAATAGGCTTCCAACAGCACTTTTTGTAGTAGTTTCCTTCTGTTATTATTTTTCCTTTTTTCTACTTTTGGTGAAAAAGTCTTCTGAGAAAAACATGATACCATGAAACAGAGCAGCTGAAAAGACATCAAACAAAGACATTTAGACTTTCAACTCTAGCTAAGTGAACTTGAGGATGTAGCCCCACTGAAATGCTCCCACAATTCTGTCTCGCGGCTCCTTCAGAAGGTGAGCGACTGTGCACCTGCTAACGCGAGACAGGACTGATCAGACCTTCACGTCAGCTCAGGGTCAAGGCATTTTGAGTCCTCGTAGGCTTGTTTCTGAAAATGATGTGACTGATAATAAGGTAAAAACAAGTTAATGTTCTTGGCCAATGCCCTGCCCTCTCTAGGCCTCTCCTCTTTCTGTATCTAGCCTTGAACTGTAGTTGAGGAAATATAGATGCAAAACAAGAGAAGCAGGAAAAACTGATTCCCCGTGTTTATTTAAGGAGTGTTAAAGCACTTTTTAAAAAAATTATTGGTATCATCTGGGTTGGTGTATTCATCGGTGTGTAACTCTTATTTCCACCAAAAAGTTAGAGGCTGGGTCACAGATACCAGAGTTGGGGGATGGGATGGTGGAGGTGGGGGGCACACCCACTGGAAACCAAGGCTACGGTGAGGAAGGTAACACTTCAAGCTTTCAAAATCTTAGCAGAGACTGTAGAAGAGCAGTTTATGAACTCTAATGTATACAAAAAGTATCAGGAACTTGGTTTAAAATGTAGATTCTCAGACCTTAGTCCTAGGGACTTGTTGGTGCCCTTTATACAAGTGAGTTGCAGATTTCACTTTGAGAAATACTGATGGAGAAAAATGCTTATCATTGAGGAAAAACAGCTACATTCTTAAAGAATTAACCAAGGGCTACTATAAACTACAAAAAGTTACCGGAGAAGAGCTACATTCCCAAACCTGTCAGTTGGCAGGGACCTCCACTCTGAGAAGGCCATTGTGCTTCCGTCATCCATCAAGAATGTTGAGACCACTGCAGACACCCACCTTCAGAACACCTCACAGCTAGCTATTCTATCTCAGTTTCCCCTACTAGCATCTCTGTGAGGAAGCTGGTATTATTTGCAGTTTACATATGAGCAATCCAAGGTTTGGAGAGCTGAATCTGCCCCATCAATTGCCCTGTAACCTGTCAGGTAAGGTGAGTTTTGAAGCCACCTTGACCGATCCTAAAACGTAATGAAGATGCTACATAAACTGGGCCTCCCCAGTGGTCCAGCGGGTTGAGCGCAGCTCTGTGAAGCTGTCCGCAACCTCTGCAGCGCCGGTTCGATTCCTGGCCAGCCAGGGAGATTCCCACATGGCGCAGCAGATCTCTCCTGTCTCACCTGCTGCTCCCCTCAGCAGTGTATTTCAGTAGATCTGCCTGTTCTGCTCCCCACTCTGTCTCTGGTGAATCCTCTCACCCTCCTGCTCCTCTGGCCTGTACCCCAGCTCTTGAATAAAAATAAATCTTTGAAAAAAAAAAAAAAAGATGCTATCTACACTGCGTCCCGGAAGAAAGGCACTCCCGTAGCCTTTGCACAGGGCCCGAGAACATTCACTAGCATTGAAATCAAATGGCCTCCTGGTCACATCCCAGACCCTCTGCCACTTACTGTAGTTTGCTATGCATGTAGGTACAAAACAGAGTGGCTTAAAACCCTAGCCACTATTTATCTCCCGGGTCAGTTGCGTGGTTCTGCTGCTCTGAGGCAGGTTTGGCTGATCTTGGCTTGACTCACTCATGAGCACATGGTCAGCAAGTGTGTTGTCTGGAGGCCGCCCAGGCCAGGATAGATTCACGCATGCATCTGGCAATTGGCTAGGGGTGGATCATCCAGACACTAGGATTGTCCCGGGCCAGCTGGGAAGGCCTGTGACATGTCCAGTGGTTCACTGCCTATTGATCACAGGGCTGACCGGTGTGCATGTGTCTTACTTTCTAGAATAACCTGGTCTCCTTCACACAAGAGTGCCAAGAAATTGAGCAGAAGTGCTTCAGATCCCTTAAACTTAGTCTCAGAACTGCCACAGTTATTTCTGTCCCATTCTACAGTCCAAGTAATTTCACAGCCAGCCCAGGCTCCTCCTCTGATGGAAGCAGCTGCAAGTTACATCACAAAGGTGTGAGGGGACAGGAAGGGTGAGCAATTGTTACCATTTTTGTAATTGATTTACCACAATAACTATATGACTAGAGACTTGTTCCTTTTTTTTAATTTTTAAAAATGTCATTATTCTTTCTTTTTTTAAGATTTTATTTATTTATTTATTTATTTATTTTGTTTACAAGAAGGCAATTTAACAGAAAATAATTTGAAGAGTCCTGTTCACAGACGGCGACCACGGCGACCCCCCTTCCTGCGGGTGCTCTCAGAGGGGATGAGGGTGACATCCTCAATCCGCCCAATTTTCATTCCTGAGCGGTCAAGGGCTCTGAGGGCTGACTGTGCCCCAGGTCCAGGAGTCTTGGTCCGATTTCCTCCTGTAGCCCGGAGTTTGATGTGGAGGGCAGTGATGCCCAGTTCCTTGCACCTCTGTGCCACATCCTGGGCTGCCAACATAGCAGCATATGGTGAGGATTCATCTCGGTCAGCCTTCACCTTCATCCCACCAGTTACACGGCAGATGGTTTCCTTGCCAGAGAGATCAGTGACATGGACGAAAGTGTCATTGAAGGATGCAAAGACGTGGCAGACACCAAATACGTTTTCTCCTTCGGCGACCTGAGGTCCGCGGCTGATGACCTGTTCTCCCTTCTTTTCCTTCCCCTTGCGAGGTGCCATTTCTGCGCGTCTTCTTCAGACTCCACCACCGGAAAGAAGATTTTATTTTTTCATGCATACAAGAACTGGGGTGTAGGCCAGAGGTGTAGAGGGTGTGAGGATTCACCAGAGACAGAGTGGGGAGCAGAACAGGCAGATCTACTGAAATATACTGTTGAGGGGAGAAACGGGCGAGTCAGAAGGGTCAGCGCCATGTGGGTCATCTCCCTGGTGGGAGCTTGAACTCAAGCCGCAGTGGCAATAGCTGGACAGCCCTGAGACTTAACCACTGTGCCACCAGGGAGGCCCTATTCTCTTTATTTTTAAAATTATGTATATGCATATATACATACTTTTTTTTTTTTTACTAAGGTAATGTTGGTTTACAACACTGCATATGATTTAGCAGAATAGATTCAAGCCTCTTCAGCTGTTCATCACCAAGTACAGGCACCAGCTAAGCTGCCATAATCCTCCACCATGAACCAAGTCCCCCCGCTCATTCCCCCTTTGCTTCCACCCCCCCTCCCGCTCTAGTAGTTTCAATTCTACTTCAGATTTCTAGGGTTTGTTTTGGTTTAGTTTCATCTGTTCTAAAGGCAGATTTCTTTTTTTTTTTTTAAGTAGTTACTTTTTTTTTTTTTTAAAGATTTATTTATTCATACAAGCACTGGGTACAGTCAGAAGCGCGGGAGGGTGAGAGAATTCACCAGAGCCAGAGCGGGGAGCAGAGCAGGCAGAAGGACCGAAGTACACTGCTGAGGGGAGCAGCGGGCGGCAGGAGAGGTCTGCGCGCCATGTGGGACCCTCTCTGGTGGCCGGGGATTGAACTGGCGCTGCAGAGGCTGGGGCAGCTTCGCAGCCCAGCGCTCAACTGCCACCAGGGGAGGCCCTAAAGGCAGCTTTCTTAACCTTTCTGTTCTTACTCATCTGTAGAATGAAGGTATTACAGTTGTGCTTATCTCAAAGCCATCACAGCACATGTCAAAGGCCTGGCTTATCTCAGTTCTTCAGAGAATTGTCAGCCATGATGATGGTGATGCCATCCTGTAAGGTATTCCCAGCCTGAAAGTCTTGTGAATCTAAATGAAAGTGAAATTAAGCTGATTTTACTGATATATATATATATATATATATATATATATATATACACACACACATATATATATATTTTTGCTCCACATGGTAGGACTCACTTGAATATTCTCTCTTGATTTCATTGTTCCAGTTCACTGTCTTCTGGTTGTGGTGCAAAAACCTACTTAAGCTACATGTCCACTTCATCCTCTCCTCCCTTGATTATTCTTTTAAGATGCTTCTAGAACATGGCCCTGCCAAGTGGCTTTAAGAGTCCAATATGACTTTTCAACTCTGTTCATCAGAGTTAAGTGGCCTGGTTCTGAGTGTCCCAATTCCAAAATTCAAAGAAAAAATCTGATTAGTCCATTCTTTTTTTTTTTTAAATTGGCATGTATTTTTATTTATTTGTTTGGTTTTTTGTTGTTGTTGTTTATTTGTTTATACATGCACTGGGTACAGTCAGAAGCGCGGGAGGGTGAGAGAATTCACCAGAGCCAGAGCGGGGAGCAGAGCAGGCAGAGGGACCAAAGTACACTGCTGAGGGGAGCAGCGGGCAGCAGGAGAGGTCTGCGCGCCATGTGGGCCCCTCCTCGGGTGGCCGGGGAGCAGCCGGGGATTGAACCAGCGCCGCAGAGGCCGCGGGTAGCTTCACAACCCAGCGCTCAACCGCTGCGCCACCAGGGAGGCCCTCCATTACTTCTTAACAGGTCAGCTTAGTCTAATCTGTCCCAGCAAAGTGGGAGGGCAGACAGAGGTAAGGCAGGTGAGACAGGAGAGGTCAGTTCTTCCAGGGCAGCAGGGGCCGTGGGCACAGGTAATTCCTTCAGAAGGCTCAGAGCCAGCAGACACAGTGATTCAAATTTCCTGGACATGGGCAACCTTCTCTGATATTTTAAATTAACTCCCCAACAAAGAGTCCAAGTACTCATCTTCAAGGACCTTAGAAAAATCCATCTTTTCTCTCCGCATCTCTTGATAAAGTGAAGGCAGGATGGCTTTCTTTCCCTCCCACTCAACAAACACCTACCCCACAATTGAGCTGTAGCACCAGTGTGTTAGTTTGCTAGGGCTGACTATTTGTGTCTGTCCCTTATAAAGAAGCCTTTTTTTTAAGTTTCAAGCCCGTGGAAAAAATGGTCCTACTGTGTACTTTTCAAAGGTTTTTATTATAATGATGGTAACAAAGGCTTTATTTTAAATTAAGTGTCCTCACTTTATTTGTTCCTTTTCTCAATAAACTTTTTCTTTCTCTAAACAAAGAAACAAAAAAAATATGTGCCCTCAAGTGTCATTTCCACATTGCCTAAGACAGATGGTTCACAACCCTGACTGGACACAGAATCACCAGGTGAAATAATATCTGTATCCCAATCCCCCTGCCCCCACCAAGATTCTGATTATTTTGGCTTGGGGTAGAATATAGGCACCACTTTAAAATAAAAAACAAACTTCCCAAATAATTCTAAAATGCAGTCCATGTTGAGAATGTTGAGAATGTCTGGCCTCAGATAAAGGTAGAAATGTGAAGATTATGTAAGTGAGGAGTCTTAGCTGTCCTAAGATATTTTGCCATACAGTTTATTTTTTAAAGATTTGTTTTACTTATTTATGCATACAAGAACTGGGGTGTCGGCCAGGGGTGCAGAGGGTGAGAGGATTCACCACACAGAGTGGGGAGCAGAACAGGCAGAGTGACTGGCATACACTGCTGAAGGGAGCAGTGGGCAGGTGAGACAGGAGAGGTCTGCTGCGCCATGTGGGTTGCTCCCTGGCCAGGGATCAAACCCATGAGGCAGTGGCGAGAGCTTGATGGCACTGAGACTTTAACCCGGTGCCACCAGGGAGGCCCTGCCCTATCGTTTAATTTTCATAACACTTCCTTGAGTGTTAGTACTACACCTCCCATTTTGTGGGCAAGGAAATGGAGGCTCCAGAGGATTGCCTTGCTGGAGTCCCATAGTTGAAGAGGCAGAGACTGATTCAGGTTTGAACATTCTGTAGCAGGAGCCAGGCTGGAGGTCGGTCAGACCTTTTCAGTTTATAGAGGGATTCGGCACAGAAAGACATGTCCAGCGTGGGACGCTTTAAAAAACAGCTCTCAAAGTCTTCCTTCACAATGGTTCTTCCATCCCAGGCTCAACAGCCATCAGGTGGATCTATGATCTCTGTTTGTCAGAACAGACTGGTCTGTGCTGCTGTAGCAAACTTGCATACCCTCAGCTTAACATGGAATGATTTATTTTTCATCAAGTTTTCCTTGTAGCTCTGTGACTCTGCCAAACAGTGACTCAGGGATCGCTTTGGGCTATGTAATTTGGAATCTATGTCTTCTGGGTGACTGAGGCAGGGGCAAGAGAGATTTCCTCTAGTTATTTAAGTGCTTTACAAGTGACACATAGTACTTCTGCTGACAGTTATTTGATCTGCCCTAGTAACAGTAAACGTGGGGGTGCACAAGGATATTTTGGTGAGCAAGTTTCTGCCATGTTACCCTAATAAAAGCCACTTTTCTGGAGAACATGTTCCAGAAGATTGAAATCCAGGCTGTTTTCTTTTTCTTTGTATATTTCATCACATGAGCCACTGTATGTACTTTAAAAATAAAAACTAAATTAAAAAATCCGTTTTTCCTTCAAATTGTTGATATTATTATTCAAATTATTGATACAATCCTTTTTTGTAACTACGTAATTCTGGGACTACAACTTCGCACCTTATGTGCACATGCCTCACTCACCCCCCACCAAAGCATGAGTGCTGATGCCTTTCTCTTCATCCCCTTGGTCTGTCCTCTGTCCCCCAGCCTCCTCTGTACTTTGCCAGTTTTTTTGGTTATTTATATTCTGAAAGTGGCTGAAATCATCCTGTAACTGTCTTTCACTGAGCATTTTGTTGCAAAGGGCAGTGTTTCATCTTTTTCAAAAGCTGTGTAGTACTCCCAAGAGTACATATTCCAGTTATCCAGTTGTCTGTCCATGGCAGGTTGGTTCCATGACTTGGTGGCTGTGACAAATGCTGCTAGGAACATAAGCAGCTCAGATTTGATGCCAAGGGCTCTCCTGTCCCACCAACCAGGGACTTGTACCATCCATTCTTCTGTGCTTTGGATGATAAAGGCAATGCTTAATTTTTTAGAGGTATGAGGCAATTTAGGTGTGTTGATATAATTTTTCTGTATTACACGTTCCTTTGGTGAGGGGCACCTTATCTCATTCTTTTTTCTCTCTTCTAATGCCTTGCACACAGTACCTATGTACATGTTATATAATTCAGCAAATATTGAGGGAGATGGTCCCTGTCCTCTAGACTGCCATTTAAATACCCTGAAATGCATATCAGTATTGTGTCTTGTCATTTGTAATGTACTTTAACCATCATTATCTCATTTTAATGACGGATGTTACACGTTGAAAATACAGACCAATTAGCTTGGACTTCTCTAAATTTCTCAATTTGTAATCAATACCCTCCCCCTTACCCGCATTTCATCGCTGCATGAGAGGTATGCACTTTATATTATAGCCAGCAAAGTGACACAATGCAATGGTTATTATACATGTCCCCAAAGGTTAAACACCTCCTTTCTGATCATGCAGATAAATTTGCAGAGTTAACTTTTTCGAAAAACACCTGCCCATATTGAGGGACAAAACACCTTATTGAGGGACAATATGAAAATTTAAGAAATGTTAAACTTCCAGTTTAGAGATACAAAGATATTTTTCTTCTAATCTTTTGCCTTCTTCAAAATTAAGAATTATTAAAGGCAGTTTTAAATATTTTTATGAAGCATTTTCATTACCATAGGAATATGATCACTTTGCAGAAACTTTAAAAACAAAATAGAGGTAGGGCCTCCCCGGTGGCACAGTGGGTTGAACGCAGTGCTGTGAAGCTGTCTGCAGCCTCTACAGTGCTAGTTTGATTCCCAGCTGGCCAGGGAGATACCCACATGGTGCAGCAGACCTCTCCTGTCCCGCCCGCTGCTCCCCTTAGCAGTGTCTTCAGTCTGTCTGCCTGATCTGCTCTCTGCTCTGTCTTTGGTGAATCCTCTCACCCTCCCATGCCTCTGGCCTGTACCCCAGTGCTTTGTATAAATAAATAAATCTTAAAAAAACAAACAAAATAGAGTTAAGAATCCATCCATGATTATCCTTTTCTAACTACTATTAGCTTTTTGGTGTATTTCCAGGTTGGCTATTTTTAGATGAAAGGAAATAGGTTATCTCTATTTCTTCTCCTGAAGGATTATTTGGTTTAAGAATACTAGGAAACTGTCATTTTGGATAGACATTCTCATTTAGTGTTTTAGAGATTTTATTTCATGCAACAGCTGTGAGGTAAAGGTTCAGAAGAAACCAGGGAATTTGTTTGAGTGATGGTGCTAATTTACATTTTCTCCCTAATGGGGTGGGGAAGGAGCTTTAAGAAAATTTAAGGAAGAAACAGAAAGGAGACATATGCTGCGGTCCTAAATATAAAACATGTAAACTGAATGAAAAAAAAATAATTACAGAACATAAGATTGGGGTAACTTATTTTTCTTCCTAAATAATTCAAGCCAAAGCTGTATCTTTTTTCTAAGACCCTGATTTTCCTAAATATTCACCACAGCAAATAGCTATAATTAGAATTCATCACACATAATCAGTTTCCAAATTATTTCATGAATACATTATCTATTGCAACGAATCCCACCCCTACCCTCCCTTTCTCCAAATCACTTTCTAAGCCAGCTGAAGTTTCACAATGGCCTTCTAAAGCTGTTGTAACTCACAATGTCGACATGTCCAGGGTACCCATGTTTAGAACTATCGACTATGAAATATTTTATTCGTGTATCTTTTGGACATTTAAATCATTTTGGTTTGGTGTGTGCTCTGGAGATATAGTATTCCAAGAGCCCTCTCACTGCATATCAAGTGCTGTTCTCTGACTTCCAGCCAGAGCTCGGATGTTGGCAAGGGCAGATTGCTCAAGTGTAGTGATTTCATTTCCAACCTTCGCATATTAAAATTATACAGCCTAAACACAAAGCTTCCAGATTTTTCCTCTTAAAAACTGAATAAAAACATAACTTAGCATTGCCACAAAATAATTAAGTCAATCTTTGAAATGGGAATTTGAAAATAAAATCGATAGACTCAATAAAACATGGAGGAAATGAACGTTACAAGATTTGTTCATAGCTGAAAAACTGTTAGCACACATATTGTTATTACTAGGGCACTTATTTTTCTTCTACGCTATGAAAGGAATGTCTTAGGTTGGGCTCTCCCTAAAGTAGATCCTGAGTAAAGGACATGAGGACAAGATGATGCCACGAAGTACAGGCAGGGCAGTGGGGAAGTGAGAGGGTAGGAAGCCGCAGACAGGCTATTGCTCTGAGATAGGGGATCAACCCCAATGGACAACCTTGGAGAACCAACAGAAAACACCATGTATCAAACACACCTCAGAGCTGTTCCACCTAACGGGCAAGGGGATATCACTCACTCTATCTGGTTGGCAGCCAGCCCCACTCACGGTGTTCACTTTCTGTAGTTTCCAACCTACATCCAACAGACCATGAGAATCCCCCACCCTAATGGGGTTGTAGATGTTTGCAGGAAGTTGCCATTAGCATAGAATGCTGAATGCCAAGGAACTATGAGGAGTGCACCTACATGTCTATTCAGGGTAAGTGACATAGAACATGGGTTTCGATCACAAAGACCTAGTATAGTCCTGCTTATGCCACTTGTGTGTAAGACCGAGTAAATGATTTAATCTAAGTTTCTAAATTTATTTGTAAAATGAAAACAATAATAGAATTTACCTCCTAGGGTCTCTATAAGGATTCAAAAAAAGTGAGTATTTGGTAGTAAACAGTAAATATAAAGTGTACAGCAGGTGAATATTCAACATATGTATCAAAGAACTGGCAGAAGTGCAGGATAGAAAATTATGTCCATATTGTCTTTTAACCACAATGACAACTTGAGGTGTATTCACACTTCCTTATAATGGCGGTTTCCTGTAGCTATATCTAAATTATTATTATTACTTAAATATTTATCCATGCATACAAGCCAGGGTACAGGCCAGAGGTGTGGGGAGTGAGAGGATTCACCAGAGACAGAGCGGGGAGCAGAACAGGCAGACTGACCGAAGTACACTGCTGAGGGGAGCAGCGGGTGAGACAGGAGAGGTCTGCCTCGCCATGTGGGTTGCTCCCTGGCCGGCCAGGGATCGAAGTCGTGCTGCAGAGGCTGTGGATTGCTTCATAGTGTGGTGCTTAACCCCTTGCACCACCAGGGAGGCCCTATATTTAAATTATTGACCTAGTCTCTGGCAATAGCTAGGAGACACAAGTCCAATCAAATTCTTTGTTAAAGTGGACTTTGAAATCTGAGAGAATCATTCAGCCTGGGTTTCTTTGTTGAATTGCTGAAGGACAAATATTTGAAAAACTCCTGCCAGGGTTTGGAGCAACTCTGGTTCTCTCCATTGACTTCTGATTGTTCTGCGTATCCATGAGGTAATTCTACTGTACATGGAATGTTTTTTTAAATTTCCTTTTATAAATTGTTCATTGCTAGGATATACAAATACAACTGATTTTACATGTTGATCTATCCCACAACTTAGCTGAATTTGTTCATTCTAATAGATTTTTTGTGGATCCTTTAGGATTTTGCACATATAGATGTCATCTATAGTTTTACTTCTTTCCAACCAACTTGGACACTTTTTACATCTTTTTCTTGCCATATAAACTGACTGTCTGTCCTTTTACACAAAAAAAATCAAACATTCGGGCCTCCCCGGTGGCTCAGCGGTTGAGCGCTGGGTTGCGAAGCTGCCCGCAGCCTCTGCAGTGCCGGTTCGATCCCCGGCTGCTCCCCGGCCACCGGAGGAGGGTCCCGCATGGCGCGCAGACCTCTCCTGCTGCCCACTGTTCCCCTCAGCAGTGTACTTTGGTCCTTCTGCCTGCTCTGCTCCCCGCTCTGGCTCTGGTGAATTCTCTCACCCTCCCGCACTTCTGACTGTACCCAGTGCATGTATAAACAAAACAAATAAATAAATAAAATGCCTCTATTTAAAAAAAAAAAAATTAAAAAAAAAAAAAAATCAAACATTCCAGGTTTGCTATTTCAGCTTAATTTTGAAAGACTATGTAGGAATGTAGACAAATAACTTCCAACATGTCATGAAAAGGACAGGAAGCAAATTAGTCTCTGTAGCTTAAGAACATATACCGTTATAAGCATACGCACCTCAATGCCAATTACATTTAAAAATGATTTTTGTACTGTTTTTGCACTGAATTCTCTGTAGAACATTTTAAAATAAGGAAGAAATAGAGACGAATTTGAGAAGCAATTCTCACCTTTAAAATTTATTACAGAAATTATAAATACAAAATGAAATTCTAGTTATAAAAGTTGCATCTGGAATAAGTTATAATAAACCTCAATAAAAATGCATATAGATGTGTCTGTGTGACACACACGTAAATGTTTTCAGTGACTGGCATTGCTTTATACAGTACATAATACATTATCTATTAAAGTATCTGAATTACTGGTTTTTATAGGACTTATAATATCCAGAAAAATCAACAATAAAAGGCAGCTCAACTCTGAAATTGTTTAAGAATTGAGAATCTCTCATGTGAGATCACTATCTTGTATTCCAACAAAAGCCATTTTACAAAAGTGTAATATTAGAATGTCTCCTAAAGAAAAAGAAAATATGTATGGTGGTGAATGGTTTTATTTCTTTAGAAAGGAAAAGTATTTTTGGTATCATTGATACAAAATGTATTATATTTATATTTATATAATTATATATAAAAGGTATTTCTAGAATAGAAGCAAAACAAATTTAGGATACACTTTTCAAATATAAAACCTTTTTTGCTATATTAAAAAGATGCTTAACAAAGTAATTATTAACACATTTGTTGTGTGTATAATCTTAAAAATAAACCAAAAATATTAAAATCTGTTAACCCAAATAGAATTATAAAAATGTTTATTTAAAAAGCATTAATTTTTAATATATAGTTAAAGTACAGCCAGAGCTTGTTCAAACACTGCCCTGCAAATCACAACTTGAACACTATGAAATGGGGAAGGGAAGCAGAAAGGCAGATGGGAAATGGGCATTAAAGAAAACAAAGACAATAAAAAGGATTGCAAAAACACAATTGATAAGTTTGTTTCTAATTTGATAAACTTTTTAGGATGGATAAAATTAAAAGTGCTTAAAACAAAAAAAAGTCAATGTCACTCATTACTTGTTGACATTAAAACATTAGTTATCAATGAACTTTATTGAGAGTTGGCCACACTTCAACTACTGACATGCCACAACATTACTCACACCATAGTGCCTTGTTTAAACTTCAAATATTTATCAGTTTTTTATCTTACACATGTACATATATACTAGGGAATTTTAAATATTTTTATTTACTATTTTATCTTTTTCTTAAAAATGCAAGATTTCATCTTCAGTTATGTAGACATGACAAAGGTGAAGTAAATAGGAACTGAATATAAAGAATATTCAATACCATGACATCATGATCTGGTACAACTGAAATTTTCAACCTCTTGCTCCATTTTCTAAATAAAAGGTAAGAAGGAAAATCAGTGAGTTCAAAATGGAAAAAGGTAAAGAGATAGTACTCAATTGCATCCCCCCCCCCAGTAAACAACCTTAAAGATATTATTATATACACACATATATACCTGATAGTACCATCGATGGGACTTCATTAATTAAATTCCTTTGAAATGAGCCGGGACATGTTCATCTTATATTGAATTCAAATAGTTATAATCAAGGCACTGATGTCTTTATAAATACTAGTATTTCATATTTTACCACAATACTAGTATTACATACACATTACACTATGTGGGTACCATAGTATGATTTAGTCTAAGGTATATTAAATACTACATATATTATATACTAGTAGGTATATACAGTATGTAGCATTAATACATACACTATGCAGATATCATCTAATATTTACTTTCAGAAATTAGTACTCTAACATCCATTATATAAGTAAAGATGAATAGGTATAATTAAAAAGGAGCCACATATCTTCAAAAATACACAAAATACTTTTCATTTTACTGATAACTAATTTCACTTTTAAAGAATCAAATTAGTGACATGCTAGATTAAAATACATACAGAACTCACTGCATCTAAAAATAATCCATAATCCACAAATTTTAAAAAATGGTCTTTAAAGTTCCTTTTCTCAGTTGATTTCTTATATAGATTGGCTTACCTGAATAAGTGCTGTTTTGTCGTAGTCCCTGCGATGCTGATAAATACACTGACTGATTACTGCATACAAATTTTCCAACTGAAAAATATTATATTCTTGACTTTTTTTAATAACAGTCTTCAAAAGGTTCTGAAAGAAAATTTGATGTTTACAATGTGAGAGATAAATTCCCTGAAACAAGTTATTTTAATTTGGAGATTTGGGGAATTTTTAGCATTTAAGTCAGAGCCTTGGAGGACAAACCAAGTTCTGAGACAAGGCAGCCTCTGATGGTGCTCTGACAATTAGCTATAGTTAACTTTATCATCAGTCTATGATCCTGGCGCCTCTACCTCTACCTCTACCATTGGGATCTCTATCCTAAACACTATACTTAAAGAGATGCCCAATTTCAATTCTAGCCACATATATCTACAAATTGAAAAATAATCTCAAAATAGATTAATAAGAACAGCAATGTTTGCACAGACTATTTCATGGCACTTAAAAGTACATTCTAATAAATTTCAGTATGTGAAACAAAAATAGATGGTACATATACATAAATGAACTACTCTACCACTGCAGTGTTTTTTCCTTCTGAAACTTACTCACTGGACTTCTATGATTCTCTTAGTCTAGTTCTCCCGGGATATGCCATTACTTCAGTTACCAAAACATCCCATTGTGGTTAAGTAAAAACTAATGAAAAATGTCATAGTAAAAACTAATTAAAATGGTCATAGATAATGGTTATAAAAACAGAGGATCAATGACGTAGACAAGTATGTTAAAAACTGTAGTATCAACACTCTAACCACCTTCAACCATCCAGCATCTAAGAGTTGTTCTATACCTCAAGTTTCTTCTTTCATAGATCATTATTTATTGCATGCCAAATTGACACACTACACCATCACAGTCCCTTTTAATGGTATGTCATGTTACTAATCTGCACAATGAAAGCATTATGATGTTAATTTACATACTTTTAATCGCTCATGGTCCACAACAAGTGAGGGTGTGGGCTGAGAAAGAATTGCCAACGCCTTTTCAACACTGATGAGCTGCTGTTGCTCTACTTGCGATCGTCTAGCTCGAGTCATTCGTAGAACACACATTTCTAGAATGAAAAATTACTATGATTGGTCGACAGATATCATAACTCCTAAAATAAATACTAGGTAAATTAAAAAGCATGACACAAAAACCGATTCTTTATTGACACTCTGCTGTAACATTAAACTACTGCCCTCTTACACATTCAAACAATTGAGCACATTTGATAAGTATGTCTCAAAAACTGAGTTATTTGAGGGACTCTGTCTCCTACCAAAGCAGGAGACACAGAATTTTTTAAAAAAACATTTATTTTATTTATACAATAGCTGGGGTACAGGCCAGAGGCGCAGAAAGGAGAGAGGATTCACCAGAGACAGAGCGGGGAACAGAACAGGCAGATGTACCAAAAGCACTGCTGAGGGGAGCAGTGGGCGAGACAGGAGAGGTCTGCCGCACCATGTGGGTATCCCCTTGACCCGCAGGGAATCAAACCCATGCTGCAAAGGCTGTGAACAGCTTCACAGTGCTGTGCTCAACCCTCTGCATCACCAGAGAGGCCCCAGAAATTTTTTTTCAAGATTTATTTATGGGCCTCCCCTGGTGGCACGGGCGGTTGAGCGCCATGCTGTGAAGCTGTTAGCAGCCTCTGCAGCACTGGTTCGATCCCAGTGGCCAGAGAGAGTCCCATGTGGCGCCATAGACCTCTCTTGTCGCGCCCGCTACTCCCCTCAGCAGTGTATTTCGTCAGTCTGCCTGTTCTGTTCCCCGCTCTGTCTCTAGTGAATCCTCTCACTCCCCCATGCATCTGGCCTGTACCCTGGTTCTTGTATAAAATAAATAAATCTTTTAAAAAAAATCTTTTTTTTTAAAGATTTATTTATTTATACATACAAGAGCTGGGGTGCAGGCCAGAGGTGCAGGGGGTGAGAAGATTCACTAGAGACAGAGTGGGGAGCAGAACAGGCAGATCCACTGAAATACACTGCTGAGGAGAGCAACGGGACAGACAGGAAAGGCCAGGCCATAGTCATTTCTGTTATGATTACTCAAACACATCAGAAGTCATGTCAAGGAAGTCCTTGAAAATGATTTACTGACAGTGTATAAACCACTGAAGAAATACAATTTGATTAACTTAGTCAATACTTGTTCTTGACAAAATAAACCTTTGACCGTTACTCCTGTTTAAATTTTCTAAGACTAAATAATATTTGAGTTTTCTAAACACCAAACATATCTACTGCAGAGGTGCAAGATCCAGACAGAAGACAACTCCAAATGAAAAACTTTGGGAGTAGATCACTAGAATAAATACAAATAATCTTGGATCTATCCTACAATAGGGACAAATGATGGAGAATGTAGAACACTTGTTCTACATTACATGTTTGTTCTACATTACTCAGCAAGAATCATAGGAAACTGCTTATCTTGAACACCAAGTGGTACCTTGCCAGTTTTAAAAAACTGTATGGCCAAGCACTATGATGCATGCTTTATAGATATTTTAGTCAAGCCTCAAAATACCTCATTACCTGCGACTCTCTACCCCAAATTTGCAGGTGACAAAACTAAGGCCAACAGGTCAAATACCTTGCCCCAGGCCACAAACTACTAAGCAGTGGAGCAAGGGCAAAATTTCAGCTATACTGATGCCAAAATGTGCTTTTAACAACAGTGACTCACTAGCCCAATCACTATGTTGTTATTTCTAATTAACAAATATCTGTATTCTGAAAGAAGTAGAAAAAGGAATAATGGAGATGGCAATTAGTCATGTAAGAATTTTAAGTGAAACACCTTTTAAAGTTTCTAAGATGCTTAATTGAGACAGACTTACCTTTTGTTTCATTTTCATCAGAAATATCTATTATCTGAGAGCTAGAAGCATCTCCATTGCAAGCAATCTTATCTTTCCTCAATTCTGGACATGGTGCAGTCTTCCTTGATTCTTCAAGTTCATTCTCCATACTGCAAGTATTTAAATTATTATTTCCCAATTCTATTTTGCTTTCAGAGGCATTTTGCTGCTTCTCATTTTCTTCCATTGAAGATTCTCCAGTGTTTCCCGTCTCATTGTGATCTACACTTGTATCTTGATTTTCCTCTGTATCACTCTCAATTTTGTCATCCACGACATTTTGGCTGTCATCTTTTGCCTGTGAAATTCTCCTCCGTTTTGTTATATTACCTAAGTGCCACTTCGACTTTTTGCGGATTTTTCTCTTCAACTGAGCTTCAAAGAATTCAAAGAAAAGGGATAGAATGTTGAACAATATTCTACAGTCTAAATGGAGGATCAGGGGAACAGGAAACTATCTTCTGAGACAGAAGAGAATCTGAGAAACTATACTTTTGTGTGGTTGGAGTATTAAAAAACAAAAAAGTGGATTACTGTGAAAAGAAGGTAGAAGTGGAAATAAATGACCTGTTAGTCTACAGACTTTGGATTTTATCTTCAATAATTTTTTTTAAGTCTTAAATAATTTTAAGGAGGGTAATGACATGATCTGCTTGAGGTCTATATTACAAAAGATAATATTGGCAATACTATAAGAAATGAAACAGAGAAGAGGAGTTACATTCTAAGAATAAGGACAAAAGGAAAGAGTATTTACAGACTCACATGAAATGAAAATCAGTTTCAAATCAAGTCACTGCACAAATACATGAATGTGGTTTCTTTGCAAAAATAGAAGTGGTTTTTTTCCTTTCAAAAATACAATGTTTCCTTAACTTTAACAAAATATATTAAAGGAAACTAAGGGAGAAAGTAAATGGTATTAGAAAAGAAAAAAGAATTAAAAAAAAGTACCCAATAGTTGCAGTACTTACCTGGAGTACTGCAAGCCACAGGAGTACTGGGTGTCTTTAGCTTCTCATTCTGTTCTGGATCTGATCTTTTATCACCAGGAATGGAATTTTGCTTTGGCATCACATGGTAGTAAGATGGGGCATATTTGGAAGAGCTACAACCTTGTAAATAGAAAAATGGGATATCATATCAACTTTCCAGATTTTAAAATTTCATGAAGGATTAAATATACTACATACGAAGCATTAATTCTAATACCAAATCAGTTTCCTACCTCTCTTCTTTCTAGATTCCTGAATTTCTTCACAAAGATGCTCAAAGTCTTCATCAAGTTCTTCCTTAATTATTGCATAGGCAGTATCTCTTAAAGCACAGGCTCTATGCCTAATAAGGCGATCTGAGAAATGAATAAAGAAATTTTCTTTACTAAAATAAATTCACCATGTTGGGTGAAGATTGCAGCCATTACAATCCCCTTTTAACCCTTATCATAAATAGTACAAATTACTGAATTTGTGTCATTTTGTTTTTGGTGCTAATCTAGTGATCTGACCATCCAATTCAATATGGCAGACTAAACCCAAACAATTTCACTGTTGTCCTATCCAGACCTCTTTGAATTATCAGGAAAAAATTTAAGCACTAGTCAATAGCAAGACTCAACAACAACATAATGTCAACAAAAGAGCAAGGAAGGTATCGGTGTCATCTGTGAACCAGGAATGTTAAAGAATTTTGGAAGTTGGGCATCCCTGGTGGTGCAAGGAGTTAAGTAGCAGCACTATAAAGCTATCCACAGCCACTGCAGCATGAGTTTGATCCCCAGGCAGGGAGCTGACCCACATGGCTCAGCAGACCTCTTCTTCCTCACCTGTTGCTCCCCTCAGCAGTGTATTTCAGTCAATCTGCTTGTTCTGTTCCCCACTCTGTCTCTGGTGAATTCTCCCCCAACCCTGCACATTTTGCCTTTACCCCAGCTCTTGTATGCATAAATAAATAAATCCTTAAAAAAAAAATTTTGGAAAAGATACAGCAGATAATACTATAATGACAGAGAAACTAAACAAAGACAATGGAACAGCAAACACTGGGGAAAAAAATCCATATTCAGAGTCCAAGCACTGTTAACTGAAATATACTTTGAGAGAGAAAGCAGGCTAACAAGTGAATGCCAGATTGCCTGAATGGCTGCCTCATTGCCCCTACAGGGAAGCAGGATGCAATACTTATACCCAGTTCTATCTAACAGTTATAATATTAGAAGGGACAAAAGGGAGTTGCAGCAGCTTCTAACATCACATTTGGAACTAAGGCAAGACAGGGCAAAATCTAAGCAGTGGTTCCCTAGTTTGGTAATACTGCGTCACCTGGGAACTTGTCAGAAACCATGAAGATGGGGCTCCATGATCTATATATTAAAACTTCCGTTCAGAGATTCAGAGTTTAGTCCATAGCACGCTTAGACTGTCACCATGAAAAGGAAAGCAGCAAGAGCAACATAATTGCAATGAAAAATAAAAACCCCTCTGCTTTTAGGTGAATGCTCCTTCTTTCTACAATTAAGAGAAGTTTCCAACTTAACACACTATTTCCCATGGCATACCTCCAGAACTCTGAACTAAAGGGGAAAGTTTAAGGGCTGATAGGTCAAAGAAAAATAGTGAGTTTTTCAACTGTTAAAAAAACTCTCAGAGTTTGGATGTTATGTATAGAAAATAGCTGGAAAGATTAAAAAAAAAAAAAAAAAAACCTGGAAAGATATCCCAAAATTTAAGGGTCCTCCTCTAAAGAAAGGAAATGGGGATTTAATTTTCCAATGCTATTAGCAAAAATATTTTGATAATTAGAATTGTTATGATCTTAAACTAAGAAAATTTTTTCAAACCTACTTTATTACAGAAACTTGGGAAAGAAAATTGCTATATAAAGGAAGCAAGCTAAAGTTGATATGCAGTTTTGTGTCTCAGAGGTTTTTATCAGGTGACTGTTTATAAATACAAGGATTTTAAAGTGGGAGAAATCTGCATTCAAATTTTCTGTCACTTCCTATCAGTATGACCTTAAGTTTTTAAACCTGTGCATATTTCATTTTCCTATGAGTATATGGCACTAGAGCTATAAAAATGTTTATAATATAGCATCTACGATAAAATCAACCCGCACCAAGTTTTAGGACTCCCGATTTCACCACCCTGGAAACAAACCCGCTTATGTTTACCTCCAGGATCTCTATCCGGATTGTATTCCAAAGCATTGCTACAGATTAGATCAATATCACTCAAATAGTCTTTCACAGTCAGATATTTGTGGAGATCAATTTTACTGATTACAGATGAGAGGTCCATCGGCTGCTTTATTACAGTGACATAATCAGGAACCTAAAATGAAAACAAATGACCAAGTCACTAAATTAACTCCGAACATAAACATTTGGGTACAATTTCTCTGCCAGGTAATTTACAGGGGAGAGAATAAATATTGAAGAGAATGATAATAAATGAACATAAAGCCTTTGGCTATTTAAAGCTGGATTGTTTTGAATTTATTCCTATTTTTGGGCACCCATACCCCCCAATAACAGCCTATAGCTCTCTCCTCATCCAAATGCCACCCACTCTTCAAAGTCAACTTAAAAACCTCACTCTCCAGCTGATGCTAAGTCTATCATGAAGTACCACATAGCATAAAGTCATTCTCAAATTGCCCCTAGAATGTTGGGCTAGACAGGAAATGTTTTAGCTCCAGGAGAAAGGGATGTTACATAGCTCCCGAAGACTCCATGTGCTTAGGACACTACTTAGCATGTTTTCATACAGAGAAAACAAACTCAAGAGTATAGACAGGGAATGACATAAACTATTCAAATATTCTGATCTTTTGAAGCATTATAGCTTGAACACATTTCATCCAAACATTAAATTAATACCTCGTCAAGGTCAACAGGTTTAGTAAATACTCTGAATCGCTTGTCAATAGCAAGTCTATGTGTAACATTTCTTAAGAAAATCCTCAGTTCTCTAAAGGTATCTTCTTCTTGTTCTTCCAGTCGTTTCACTTCCTCTGCTGTCATTGGTCTTGGCTCAGGTGGTGGTGCGATTGGGAGTACCTCCAAGGCCTGCAAAACTTCACATGAATGGAAGATTTTAGTTACAAGTTTCCATAATATCAAGGGTGAGAAATGATTCAGTGTATATAGTCATCAGGCTTTTAGCCTCCTTACATCTGCTAGGAATTGAAAGCTTTGCAATATTAAAGTGCTACTGTAATTCCTATTCTTACATCCCTCTCTAGCAATAATTTGGAATGCTAATTCCTAATTACCTCTGTTCTGGTTTAAGAACTTTGAAATGCATTATTTCCAGGACAAGCATATTCTAACTGTTAAATCTTTTTTAGTTAACATTTAAAATAATAAAAAAATATAACATGCATCAAATTCAACAAAAGTTTAATTCTATTTAAAGAGATACACAGGGCCTCCCAGGTGGTGCATGGGTTAAAGTCTCAGTGCGATCAAGCTTTCGCAAGCCACCATGGCATGAGTTTGATCCCCAGCCAGGGAACTGACCCACATGGTACAGCAGACCTCTCCTGTCTCGCCTGCTGCTCCCCTCAGAGGTGTATTTCAGTAGATCTGCTTGTACTACTCCCCAGTCTACCTCTGGTGAATCCTCTCACCCCCTGCACCTCTGGCATGGAACCCAGTTTTTGTAAGCATAAATTAAAAAAAAAAAAAAAAAAAAAAGATAAACAGAGTACTCAAGATAAATAAAAAAAGGAGTATAAGAGTGCTGCCCCAATAAGTTGGCTATCTGCTAAATGAATAAAAGACATAATTAAAACATCAGTGTAATATCATGTTACTAGCATGAAAAAGTACAATGGGTCATAAAAGTAGAAAATGGACTTGGAAAAACAGATTGGGGCTTTCTTTGAATTCGGCCCAAAGTTCATATAGGTAGGACCTATGTGAAATACCTCAGATACTTTAAGCACTTTAGTCTATTCTGATAGGATGTGTAGATAATTTTTTTTTTTTTTTTAATTCACCACCACAGAGTGGGGCACAGAAAAGGCAGATTTACTGAAATATGCTGCTAAGGGGAACAGTGGGTGAGACAGAAGAGGTCTGCTGCACCATATGTGGGTTAGCTCCCTGGCCGGGATTTGAGCCCAGCTGTAATGGCGACAGCACTGAGACATAACTCCTAGGCCAACAAGGAGGCCCTGAGATTTTAACCAAAAGAGGTAACTTAATGACAGGTTTTTTTTTTTTTTTTTTTAAGGTTTCATTTCTTTTCTTTTTTTGGGGGGGCATAGGCCAGAGATGCGGCAGGGTGAAAGGATCCACCAGAGACAGAATGGGGAGCAGAACAGGCAGACTGGCCGAAATACACTCCTGAGGGGAGCAGCGGGCAAGACAGCAGAGGTCTGTCTCGCCATGTAGGTTTTTCCCTGGCTGGCCGGGGATCGAACTCGTGCTACAGAGGCTGCAGATTGCTTCACATTGCGGTGCTTAACCCCTTGTGCCACCAGGGAGGACCCTGTTTGGTTTTTTTTAAAGATCCATTTATTTATGCATACAAGAACTGGGGTGTAAGCCAGAGGTGCAGGGGCATTGAGAGGATTCACCGGAGAGAGTGGGGAGCAGAACAGGCAGATGTACTGAAATACACTGCTGAGGGGAGCGCAGGCGAGACCAGAGAGGTCTGCTGTACCATGTAGGTTGCTCCCTGGGCAGCCGGGGATTGAACTTATGCTGTAGTGGCTGGCAGTAGCATGATAGCGCTGTCTTTAATCCCTGCGCCACCAGGGAGAGCCCCATGACAGGTTTTGAGTTTGTGTCATTTGATAGGTGGTAAAGTCATTAACTGATATTTTATTCCTACCTTCTCAAAATTATTATATACTAACTTTGATATATAAACTAACCTGCTTTCTTTTTTGATATAGGAGGCTTAGCAGCTTGCTTTATAATTAAATCTTCAAAAAATTTTGTCCGTTCTTCTTTACCAGGTAACTGGACATTAAAAATTTCTCCATAATCATGAATAAATAATTCTTGCACCTTAAAAAGGAAAATTTATGCATCACATATATGTATGTATATAAACACACAACATGTACTAATTATGCAGTGCCAACAGCAGTTATTACACACAGATTTTTAATGACAACCTAAATTATTATAAAGGATTTCTTAAACCTTTCACATATCCTGGATTTATGTATATTTACATACAGAATAGGAGCTAAAAACTGTAATTCAGGTAACTGACATGATAATATTTTCCCTAAGGATTTTTTGAGTATTTTCACAACTTAAAGCAAGATATGAGAACAAGTGGTTGTTCAGTAAGAGCAAAGGCTTGAAAATAACAAGTATTGGCGAGAATCCTTGTGCTGGTATGACTATAAACCAGTGTAGCCACTGTAGAAAATAGTATGGTGGTTCCTCAGCAAGTTAAAAAGAATTACCATGTAACCCAGTATATATCCAAATAACTGAAAACAGTTTTTGTTTGTTTTATCACAGGGATAAACAATATGTAGCATATACACACAATGGAATATAATTCAGCCTTAAAAAGGTGAATTCTGACACAAGCTACTACATGGATGAATCCTGAAAACATTACACTACTGAAACAATCACAAAGGGACTGATAGTATATGATTCCACTGACATGGGATAAATAAATCCCTAGCAATGGAAGGTTTTTTTAAAAAAGATTTATTTATTTTTATAGAAGAACTGGGGTAAGGGCCAGAGGCGCAGGAGGGTGAGAGGATTCACCAGAGACTGAGGGGGAGCAGAACAGGCAGACGGACCGAAACACACTGCTGAGGGGAGCAGTGGGTGAGACAAGAGAGGTCTGCCACACCATGTGGGTATCTCCCTGGAATGGACCTGGCAATGCAGAGGCTGAGGACAACTTCACAGTGCTGCGCTCAATCCGCTGCACCACCTGGGAGGCCCCACGATGGAAAGTTTTAACAGAGGTTACCAGGGGATAAAGGGAGGAGAGAAAAGGGAGCAAAGGGAGCAACTGTTTAATGGGTATTGAGTTTCTGTTGGGATGAAAAACTTTGAAAAATGATAGCAGTAATGATGTGCAACATTGTGAATACACTTGATGCCACTGAATTGTACACTTAAAATTATTTAAAATGGTACATTTCAGGGGCCTCCTGTTAGCACAAGGGGTTAAGACACAACCTAGAAAGCTGTCCACAGCCACTGCAGCAATCCCCCGGCCTTCAATCCCCCCGGCCGGCCAGGGAGCTAATCCACATGGCACAGCAGACCTATCCTGACTCACCTGCTGCTCCCCTCAGCAGTGTACTTCCGTCAATCCCCCTGTTCCGCTCCCCACTCTGTCTCTGGTGAATCCTCTCACCCCCCACATCTCTGGCCTATACCCCAGCTCTTGTATGCATAAATAAATCTTAAAAAAAAAAATTGTACATTTTATGTTTATGTATATTTTACTGGTAAAAAAGAATAAATGCAAACAGATCACCAAAGGATGTCTCTAAACAAACCTCTGGCCTTTTCCAGTGTCATTACTATAGGACATGGAAGTTTATTCCTTATAATGAGGGCTTGTACACTTAGTTTGGGGTATCTTTGCTAGAGAAGCTTATATTCTTAGCTTTTGTATTTTCTCCTTTGTAGGGTCTTCCATATTCAAAGATTATGAAAATGTTTTCCTCTAACATGTTATGATACAAACATTTTCCTCTTATTATTTCAACATCACTTATGAAACAAGTCTTCAGTTTTACCTAATTCCCTTACTAAGTTACCATGCATACAATGGGCAATAGAGTCTATTAATGGGCTGTATTCTACTAATTTGCCCATTCTGGTCTAAATTCTAGTTTTAATTATTAACTCTGGTATATTTTAATATTTGGTAAGCCGCCTCATTACTTTCTTAAACTTTTCTTGTAAATTGAAGCACTTTATTCTTCACTGAATTTGATAATTCACCATTTTTATTGGGATTTTTATTAGAATCTGTACTTTTTCCTTCTTTCTAGTGGCCTAGAGGGTATATGTTACATTTCTATTCTTTTATTGGTCTAAGTTTTAATAGACACATTCAAGCTTTTCCCCCCTAAACTGCAAGGTTAATTAATATCAGGCAAAAAAAAAAAAAAATCTGAAGTTTTTTTTTATTATCCTTCTCTTTTACTATGTTCTTCCTCCCACTTCAAGTTCAAAGACCAATTTAATTTCACATCCATTAAAAATTTTTCCTATCACAAACTTGGGACAAGTTTTACTGATTTCTGCTCACCGATTTTCACATGCCACCCATACAAAATAAAAAATTCCAAAAAAAGAGATAATCCCTTAATAATTCTTTTAGTCAGTGGTTTATGGTACAGAATTTCCACATTTTACTTGTTATAGTTTTTTACCCTCCCTATATCCATATATAGAAAATTCAGGTAGTTTGTCTTAAGTAACTGCTCTAAATTACTACCAAAAGTATAAACTTACTCTCTTTGCTTCAAAATTCAAATTATTAACAAAGTTATAGATGACAGTGAGAATAAGCCAAGGGTATAAAGTGGCTACCAAATAGCAATTCTTTACTCTGTGTTAACCAGAGTCCTTAATCCATTCTGGGGACAGCCTTTCAAAAAGAATATGCAGAAAGACATTCAGGATAGTGACTAGAATTTTGAAGAAATTAAAAAATATATGTGTATTGTGTGGCAGAGCCTGCAGTATCATAATCAAGTTCTCTCTTTTTTTGGGGGGGCATACTGCTGTATTCTATTTTCTAGCCTCCCTCCCTTACATTTAAAGTATGGTTATGTGACCAAGTTTCGGCCAATGTAACCTGAGAGGAAATGATAAACGTCACTTTCAGGTTAGGAACGTGAATGGGATATGTTCCTTTCAGCTGGGTAGAATGGAAGCAATTGTCCTTGCATGCCAAGAGTTATCACAAGAACAGATTAAACAGGTTTACACTCGGAAACAGGTTACCTCGGAAACAAATGGAAATGAAGAAACGGAAGCCTCTCAAAACAAGATGGTTAGTTTAGGAGTCAGAGCTAACAAAATGAATAATGAAGAATGCATTTCAACAAAGGTGGGGACAGCCATATAAAGGACAGACTATAAAGAAGAGTCCAGAATGATGATTAAACTAGAAACCTCAAGGATCTGTAATTCATAATTTCCCAGCGTATTCAAGTTCCAGCTAAATAATTCACAATCAACTACTGAGACAAAGTCTTTGAGAAGTCCTTGACCTCATTTCCTTCGACTCTGCCCTTCATGGTCTATTCTAGCCACCCTGGCCCTCTGCTATTTTCCCAACACACCTCAAATACACTTTTGCTTTAGTCTTTGCACTTGTTTTTCCCCTACCAGAAATCTCTGTTGCTCACGGGTCACTATCTTACCTTTTAACAAATGTCACTTTCTTCACAAGCCCTTACTTAGCCTATTTATTTAACACTGACCCTACCGCACTCTTTTGGCACTGCTTAGCAAGACTTTTCTCCATAGCATTAGATTAGTATTATACAATTTAGTTTTGTCTTTCTCTTAAATAAAACATAAGTGATAGGATACAAATTTTTATCTATATTGTTCATTGCTATATTCTCAGTGCCTATATAACCATGCCTGGCGCAGAATAAGATTTCAAAGATCTTTTTCAATGATGTATTTGAATGTATTTTCTCACTGTTCCAAAACTGCAAACATATTTTGTCACAGGTATGGAAAAACATTCAATTCATTCAGTAAAGGAAAACATTCAGAATCCTACGATATGCTTATTATGTACTCTGGGGATGGAGGAGGAAGGAAGACCCTGAATGTGAATTTATGGACTTCATGTTCTGTTAGGGAGACAGAGTCCAACAAATTATCTAGTAACAGGCTAAAAATAAAGAAGAGCAAGGGAAAAGAGCTATGGGTACAGGAGTTATTGCAGTAATTGAGAAACTAATCTGAAGATCTCTTTAAGGTGACATTTGGGCAGAGACCTAAGAAAAAGAAAGGCTCATGCCAGATGAATATCTAGAATTAATTCCAGGGAAAAGCACGAATATTTGTTCTCCGCTGGTTGTTTTCAAAATTGGCAAATTTGAAGGACAATAATTTGGTACTATGAAAATTTGTTAATGGGCACACGCTTTAACTAGTCATTCAACTTTGAAAAATGGACATTAGAAAAAAAAAAAACCTACAACCAAAATACCGAGGGACAAACTGAGATTTAAAAAAATCATGGGCGGGCCTCCCCGGTGGCGCAGCGGTTGAGCGCTGGGTTGCGAAGCTGCCCGCGGCCTCTGCGGCGCCAGTTCAATCCCTGGCTGCTCCCCGGCCACCGGAGGAGGGTCCCACATGGCGCGCAGACCCCTCCTGCCGCCCGCTGCTCCCCTCAGCAGTGTACTTTGGTCCTTCTGCCTGCTCTGCTCCCCGCTCTGGCTCTGGTGAATTCTCTCACCCTCCCGCGCTTCTGACTGTACCCAGTGCATGTATAAACAAAACAAAACAAAACAAATAAATAAAAAAATAAAAAAATAAAAAAATCATGGGCGTGGGGAAAGGAGGAATTGGGGTGAAAATAAGGGGGTGCAATTGTACGGGAAATATAAAAATAAAAAAAATTTTAAATGTGTGTAAATAAACGAACATGTGAGTAAAATATATAAACTGTAAAATGTAAAAAAACAAAAAAAAAATCATGACACATCAAGACAATGGAAAAAAAAAATCCATGCTGCTCTTAAGAGATTTATCTACTAGAAAACATAAGATATAATGCAAATTGCATATGCCATTTTGTAAGATACAATGTTGCACTATTATACACACAGATATACCATCCTGCCCAACAAGCACATATATCAAATGGTCATCAATGATATCTTTAATAAGAAAACTTTATCCTTTTAGTTACCTCTATAGCATTTAGAAGTTTTATAATTGAGTTTCTAATATTTTGTATGAATAATTCTTTTTAAACTGTAATAATTTTTCCTCTCACAAATTACCTCTTCCGGCAGAATAGAATGGGGTTTGTCAGAAGTTGCAAGTAGCAAAACTGGAGCAAATGAAGGAATATTCTGTAATAATGTGGTAAATGTGGCTTTGAGTGTGGGTCCAACTATTTCCCACCACAAGTGGATATGAGGAACATACACTATACTTGGTGCTGTCCTCTTGGCTTCACGAATCATCTAGTAGAGAGAAAAAAATTACTTTGGTATTGACTTAGCACATTTATGATGCTAGTGTAGTCTAGCAATTATGTTTAACTTCACAGAATTACCATTTAATGCTGTTTTTAAAAATGCTTCCCCCCAGTACAACAATCTTGTACTTGTAAAAGTCTCATTTTTAGGAAAACATAATTGCTTCAAGCAATTAGACAGCTCAAGAAACTTATTCCGATATAATAATCAAGGTCAAATATAAAACAATTTTACATTAAAAGTAAGTCAAATAAAAAATTAGCAAAACCAGAAACAGGATATCTGAGCATTTACTATGTTGCAGTCACTGTTTTAAGTAATTTATTCATTTAATTCTTGCAACAGCAATAAAAGGTAAATACTATTATCTCGATTTTGCAAATGGGGACAATGAGGCATAGAGGTAGAAATAACTTTCTTTCTGTGGGAGGTCACACAGATATTAAGTAAGGATTTATATCCACCCCCTTTATTGAGAAAACAATTACGCATAGTTCTACTTCATAAACATGAAGTCAGAAATAAGATGAAAGTAACCCACAGTACAGAGAGAATGAGGCAATTCTAGATTTTGTTTCTAGGAGACTGATCTGTCTTACAGGTTGTCTGATCAATGTATTACCTGGGCACATGTTTCTTCTGGAGATGTTGCACTGACTCCAAAAAGAACAGGAATGTCTAATGTATACACTGCAAATTTTTCCAAAGCATGAATGACTGCTGGTGCCAAATGAGAACCTTGTCCAAATCCTGGTTCTCCTACAATCAGGATTCTTGGTCGAAAAGACATAGGTTGATAACAAGCATTTCTGAAAGAAACGAAAAAGCTGTGTTTTACAAAAAGCAGAAATTTAAATTTGTATCATTTTTATTGAGGTAAGTTTAGTTTACAACACTGTATGTGATTCAGAGGCATAGGATCACACCGTTACAGATGCATGCCACCAAAGCACACCACCAAAGCACCCCTAGTCCTCCACCATAATCCATTGTGCCCCTTCCCCATTTGGGTGCCCCCCAACACTTGTAGCCTCAACTCTAAGGTCAGATTTTTGGGGTTATTGATTTATTATTTTTGTATGGCCTTTTGGTTTCCTATATTCCACATATAAGTGAAATCATCCTCTATTTGTCTTTGTCCTTCTGACTTATTTAACATTATTCTCTCTAGTTCCAACCATGTGGTCACAAATGCCAAGAATTCTTTTTTTTAACAGCTGAGTAGTATCCATTGTGTATCTGTATCACACTTTCTGATCCACTCCTGTCATTGGGCACTTAGGTTGTTTTCATAACTTAGCAACTATAAATATGGCTGCAATGAACACAGGAATGCACATATCCCTTCAAATTAGTGTTTTTGCATTCTTTGGGTAGATACCTAGGAGTGGAATTGCTGGGTTGTAAGGTAGATCTATATCTTTATAATTTGCGAAACTACCACACTCTTTTCCATAGAGGTAGGACCAGTTGATTCCCACCAAGTGTATGAGAGAGACTTTTGCTCCACTTTCTTGCCAATACTTGTTGCTTCTGTTCTTTCTGATATGTGCCATTCTCACAAGGATGAGACATTATCTCACTGTAGTTTTGATCTGTAGTTCTCTGATGATAAATGATGAACACTTTTTCATGTGCCTGCTGGCCATCTGTATGTCTTCTTTGGATAAGTCTATTTGGTTGGGCCTTACAACCCAATTTTAACTCATTATGAGTTAAATTTTACATAATTTATGAGGCGGTGATCTAGTTTCATTCTTTTGCATGTGGCCATCCAGTTTTTCCCGCACCATTTGTTGAAGAGACTCTCCTTTCTCCAATGTATATATCCTTGGCTCCTTTACTGTAAATTATCTCTCTCTATAGATGTGGGTTTATTTCTGGACCCTCAATTCTATTCCATTGGTCTGTGTTGTCTATTTTTATTCCAGTACCGTATCATTTTGATTACTTTTACTGTACAGTATAGCTTGAGGCCTGGGAGTGTAATATCAACATTCTTCCTCTTGCTTTCAGGAACATTGTGGCTGCTTGGGGTTTTTTGCGGTTCCCTATGAATTTCAGTAATATTTCTTCTATTTCTTTGAAGAATGTCATTGGAGCATTGATAGGAATGGTGTTGAATTTATAAACTGCTTTGGGTAAGGTGGCCATTTTAACAAAGTTAATTCTTCTGATCCATAAGCAGTGAATATTTTCCATTGCTTTGTGTCTACTTCTATTTCTTTTAGCAATGTCCTGTTGTTTTGACTGTTAGAGGTCCTTCACCTCCTTTGTTAAGTTTACTTATAGATATTTAATTCTTTTTCATACAGTGTGAGTGGGACTGTTTTGAATTTCTCTTCTAGCTTACTGATTGCATACAGAAATGTACCTCATTGTTGTAAATTGATTTTGTAGTCACTTCATTGTTTTATTATTTCAATTAGCTTTGTAATGGTGTCTTTACGGTTTTCTATCTCTATTATCATGTCATCAACAAATAGTGATAATCTTAACTTCTTTCCCAACTTGGAGCCCTCTTTTATCTTTCTCCAGCTTAGATGCCCTAGCTAGGACTTCCAACAGTATGTTGAATAGTAATGGTAGGAGTGGACATCCTAGTCTTACACCAGGACCCTAGAGGAAAATCTCTCAGTCTTTTACCACTGAGTATGATTCTGGCTGTGGGCTTATCATATACAGCCTCTGTTATGTTGAAACCTCCATTAACTTTAGGAATATTTAGTATTTTTACTATAATACAACTTCAATGACCAAAAGAATTGAAATTTTAGAAAGAATTATCAGATGTAGAAAGAAAAAACAGATTAGTTGGCATCTTCCATCTATTCAACCACCATCTCATTTAATTTCAGGAATTTTCACATACACATGCATGTATGAATACATATATATTAATATGAAAGGGAAACATACCTATTCAAATGAAGAAAATTAAAATTTTCTTTTGCCTTATTAAAGGATTTTTGAGACAGTCCATTTTCATATACTGATGGAACATCATCATCACTGTATGCCAAGTCACTTTCTAGCAGAGGACAAGAAATATCTATGAAACAAACCAAAAAATTGCACATTAGTTACTTTTCTGGATTGCAAAGCAAATCTTTTTGATTCAGTCAGCAAATCAGTATATTTCAATGAAAAAAATTTAAGAATCAAAAACATGTGTATAGATATAAATAACAAGCAAATATAAAAATGCAACCCAAACTTGGGTTAAGAGCATTCTGTCAAAAGCCAAGGCAAAAGCACAGCCAAAATTTTTCAGGAGGCTTTTTAAAAAAAAAAAACATTTATTATTTATGCCTACAAGAACTGGGGTACAGGCCAGACATGCAGGGGGGTGAAAGGATTCACCAGACAGAGTAGGAACAGAACAGGCAGACTGACTGAAACACACTGCTGAGGGGAGCAGCGGGCTAGACAGGAGAGGTCTGCTGTGCCATGTGGGTAGATCCCTGGCCAGCCAGGGATCAAACTTGTGCTACAGAGGCTGTGGATAGCTTCATAGTGCTGTGCTTAACCCCTTACACCACCAGGGAGGCCCTCAAGAGGCTCTTTTATAAAGGAACATTTATGGGATGTATAAAACATTCAGCTTTTACTGAGTATGAAGACTAAACGGCCAGCCAAGTTTCATACCTGAGTCTAATGCTTTCCTTGTATTGATTTCTGCATGTGGAAATACTCTCTGCAGGGCTTCTAAGATCTTGTGAACAGTGCTCTGCAGGAGTGGTTTCACGATGGTGGACAGCGCCTGCCCAGGTGATGTCACAGCTCTTTGGGAGGCTGGTATCATCTTTTGCATAGCTACCTCAAAATCCTTAGCTGAGATAATAACTGAAGAGAGATCCAACTGTAGTTTCTCACTCGTGGTATAGATCTGTGGGTAGCGTCGACGTAGAGCACATAAAGCAGCTTCAGAACATATTGATTTAATATCTGCACCACAATATCCTGTCCAAGGTAATCATAAAAGATTTTTTTAAAGTACATCACCTGATTAGCATGACCATAATTAAAAAAAAATTAAAATGAGTCTAGCAATACAGTAGCAAAATATTTAAAGTAATAAAGCTAAAACTTTTCATTTATCCAGTGAACTTACACGACAGTAATAACTGTTACCAACAAACCTACCAACATTTACGAAATATAGAAGCACTACATATAACACAGGGGTCCAGGGCAAGTTTTAGAATTGAACAGGCTAGGTTCAAATTCCAATTTGTCAATTACTAAATGTGTGTTCTTTAGAGAATTACTTAGCTCTCTCAGCCACTTATTCATCTATAAAATATGGATAAGAGTATCTATGTATAGTAGTGATGTGAGAATTACCTGAAATATGTAGCATGCCTAACAGGAAGATGAGAAAAATATAAATAGCAAAAGATAGTTAACATTAATATTATTGTCTGCCCTCAAATTCTCTGATGACCAATTTGTCAAATACTTTTATTTAATAGGCAGAACTGTGTAATAAAACATGCCACAAATAAGAGATAAGAATACAGCCTCACAGTTCATTAAATATAACCTTGTAAGACTATAACTTGTTCCATCTTTGAAATGTATGCAATATTTCTTTTAATTGCTTAAAACAATGTTTACCAACACAGTTTTCTGCTAGTTCTTCTAGAAATATGTCCAATGGTTTAGGATTCCAATCCCTTGTATGAATCTTCAGAATTTCTTTTCGAGCCTAAAGATTAAAAACAATCCAATTTTTAACATCAGTACTAAGTCTACTTAGAACAATTTCAATTTACATTACTGCTAATTATCTAAATTTTTTTTAAAAAGATTTATTTATTTATTTATTTATTTATTTATTTATTTATTTATTTATTTATTTATTTATGCAAGCACTGGGTACAGTCAGAAGCGCAGGAGGGTGAGAGAATTCACCAGAGCCAGAGCAGGGAGCAGAGCAGGAAGAAGGACCGAAGTACACTGCTGAGGGGAGCAGCGGGCGGCAGGAGAGGTCTGCGCGCCATGTGGGACCCTCCTCCGGTGGCCGGGGAGCAGCCGGGGATAGAACCGGTGCTGCAGAGGCTGCAGATAGCTTTGCAACCCGGCGCTCAACCGCTGCGCCACCAGAGAGGCCCTAAATATCTAAATTTTAAAGAAATAAATACCTAACATACAGAGAAAAATTAAAAAGCAAAAATGAGAAAAGATACATTTATGACCATTTAAGCAAGTTATGCTAAACAGATTTACATTATAGTGCTCAAGGTCTAGGCATCATAAATGTGAATTAAAGAAATTAAGTAACTCGAACTATTATTCATGCTGGTACATATTGTGAACTATTTCAGAGTACTAACAGCTCTACCCCTATTTACTTGGTTATCAAAGACAAAGTAAGTGGCTTTAAGATAACTGAGTAGGTTTTATGATGGTATCCATGAAAAAACCAATGCTAATGAAGTGACTAAAAATTGACAGTTCACAGGGTCATTTCTGAAACAAAATAAAGTCATAAGATTAACATCAAAGGCTTTCTTCCACCTGAGAGAATTTCAAGAGTATTTAAGTGAGGAGTTATATTTAAGAAAATAAAAAGTCACTTAAAAAATTTTTTTTTTAAAAAAGATCTATTTATTTATGCATACAAGAACTGGGGCACAGGCCAGACATGTGGGGGGTGAGAGGATCCACCAGAGTGGGGAACAGAACAGGCAGACTGACTGAAACACACTGCCGAGGGGAGCAGCGGGCAAATCAGGAGAGGTCCACTGCACCATGTGGGCAGCTCCCCAGCCCGGGAATGAACTTGTGCTGCAGTGGCAGCGGGCAGTCCCACAGTGTTGATTTCCCAACCCCTTGTGCCACCAGGGAGGCCCCCTTCTTAAACTCTTTTCTTAAAAATGCTTTTTTTTTTTTTAAGATATGTTTTATTTATTTATGCATACAAGAGTTGGGGCTTAGGCTTGAGATGCGGGTAGAGTGGGGTTGAGAGAATTCACCAGAGACAGAGTGGGGAGCAGAACAGGCGGATTGACTGAAATACACTGCTAAGGGGAAGAGCAGGTGAGACAGGATAGGTCTGCTGTGCCATGTGGGTCAACCTCCCTGGCCAGGGATCAAATTTGTGCTGCAGTGGTTGGCGATGGCTTCATAGTGCTGAGGCTTAACCCCTTGTGCCACCAGGGGACCCCTAAACAATGCTTCCTAAAAATACAAATATACATGTTTGGATGATAATCATGTGTGACTTTGCTTCAGAACACAGAGAACGCAATCTTCAAACTTTCACTGTACAAAGATTTGTTAATGATACAGACAACTGGGCCTCCCCTGGTGGCGCAGGCGCTTGAACGCAGCATTGTGAAGCTGTCCGCAGCTTTTGCAGCGCAGGTTTGATCCCGACCGGCCTGCCAGCCAGCCGGTGAGGATCCCACATGGCACAGCATACTTCTCCTGTCTCGCCCGCTGCTCCCCTAAGCAGTGTATTTCATCAGTCTGCCTGGTCTGTTTTCCACTCTGTCTCTGGTGAATCCTCTCACCCTCCTACACACCTGGCCTATATTCCAGTTCTTGTATAAATAAACAAACAAATCTTTAAAAATAAAAAAAAATGATACAGACAACATGCTTTGCTATTGCTAAACTTTGTGGGTAAATAATGAAGGCCTGCTGGGAACAGGACTTCTAAAATATGGCTAGAAGGCTGTGGTCCAAGGTCATTTTTGCTGGCTATAAGTGGAGGACTCTGCAGCCAGAGAGCACATACATTATAACTAAAGGTATAAATTATGTGTGATATAAAACTGAATTCTTTCTAGGTAAAGATGTGCTAAATTCTGAGGCAGGGCCTCCCTGGTGGCTCAAGGGGTTAAGTTGTAGCATTATGAAGCTATCCGCAGTCTCAGAAGCTAGAGTTCGATCCCTGGCCAGGAGCTGACCCATATAGTGCAGCAGACTTCTGTCTCACCCTCTGCTCCTCTCAGCAGTGTATTTCAGTCAATCTGCCTGTTCTCTTCCCAACTGTCCCTGTGAATCCTCTCACCCCTGCACCATTGGCCTATACTCCAGTTCTTGTATGCATAAATAAATACACCTTTAAAAAAACAACAACACATTTTGTCAAAATTTGATGTTAAATTCTTACATCTTTATCAGGTAGACTGAAAAGGAATTCTCTGTCAAAGCGACCAGGCCTTCGTAAAGCAGGATCGATAGAATCCAGTCTGTTGGTAGCACCAATGACCACAATTTCCCCTCTGCTGTCCAATCCATCCATAAGAGCTAGCAGTGTGGAAACAATAGAACTAAATTAAAAATAAGAGAGAAGAGATTAATCATATGGATTTTAAATTTATCATTTCATCTTTTGGTAAGATTTTATCCATTAAATATTTAAGTGAATTTTCTCAGAACATCTTATTACTTCCAGTGAATGAAAAATACCTAGAAAATAACATGGTAAATGGCACATGGAGATTAAAATCAATGAAAAACATAGTGTTTAAAAAGCCACAAAAATAATCTTGGCAATCACTTCATTAATCATAATTTCACAAAAGAATTTCAGAGTTCCCAAATATGGATTAGAAATAAAACTAATGAGTACTGGGTAGAGCAAACAGTATCTAAATATTTAAAAATATTAATTACAACTTACTATGTATAACTAATATGAAATTATAATTTAAAAAGTATAAAATACCCCGTATGTACTTATTAAAGGAACCCTAAAAAAAAAAAAAAAAAAAAAAACCAACCAAAAAAAAACCCCCAAGACTATAAAGCATAAAAACAGATTTTCAATTACATTTAAGCTTTTTGCTACAAAGAGAGAATAGTAAAATGATCTCCGTATCTACCCCATCCAGTTTCAAGTTTCTGGTATTCCTTTTTTAAGTCCTTACCCAACAGTTTTAAAAAACCCAACTCACAGATATCATTTATTCCTGAAATATTTCATGCTAAGTATGTTACGTATATTGTGCTGTGAAAGCGACTTTAAGACTCCCACAATACTATGATCCAATGTAAACAATAATTCCTTATCATCCAATACCCACTTTTCCCTGATTTTCTCAAGGTATCTTTTAACATTTGATTTGTTCAAGCCAAGATCCATATATTGTATGTTGTCAAATGTCCTTCAAATCCATAACAGTTTTTATTGCACCTTCCTCACTTTTTATTTTCTTCCTCCATGCCATTTATTTGCTGACGAAACTGAGCCATTTTCTTCTAGAATTTCCTTTATCACATTCTGAATTGTGCTGACTGCTTCCTGATGGGTTCATTTAACTTCTCCTCTAATTTCATTTTTCCTGTAAACTGGTAAGTGGATCTAAAAGCGTATAGATTCATGTTAAAGTATTGGGGCAGCATTTTTTTCCTTGAATTTATAACGATTTTTAAAAAGTTTTAAATTTTTTAAAAAAGATTTAATTTACTTTTGCGTAGAACTGGGGTGCAGGCCAGAGGTGCATGGGAGTGAGAGGATTTACCAGAGACAGAGTGGGAAGCAGAACAGGCAGATCTACTGAAATACACTGCTGAGGGGAGCAGTGGGTGAAACAGGAGAGATCTGCTGTGCCATGTGGGTTGCTCCCTGGCCGAGTGGGGATCGAACTCGTGCTGCAGTGGCTGGCAATAGCTTGATAGTGCTGTCTTTAAACCTTGCGCCACCAGGGAGGCTCTATATATTTTTCTTTGACAAAAAAATTCATCATGAGTTCATACTGATATCTCCAATTTAAGGTAAAGATTTTAGGGTGTAAACTCAATGTACTTTACATTTGTATCTTCTTTCTCTTAAGCTAAAAATCTTATTTCCTAACACATTCACAAAATTACTTATCTGCATTAGTCTACAATATTATTACTAACAAGAAAATAAGTAACACGGTTCAATTATGGCCAATGCACTTACTTCTAGAGAAGTTTTATTGTCTAGATTTTTAATTCTTTGGTTAAAAAAGATTTGCATACTAAATTTTTCTCTTAAATTACATACACTTGAGATGGTGTGTACTTACAAAAATTATATTTTTTCTGTTAATATTTCTCCAATCCTTTTAGAACCATAACAAAATATAATAAGTACTCAATTACTTGAATGCAAAGTGGTGACAATATTGTTAAAAGTTTCTCCCTAAGGGAGGGAGGAGCACAGAGGACTGTGGTGATGATGCACGGGTGCCTTGGGGAAGGAAATTCTATGGTGACTCAATCTGAGGGGGTGGGAGGAAGCAAATATTGTTTAAAAATAAAAATAAATAAAAAAATAATAAAAAATTTAAAAAAAGTTTCTCCCTACTAACACAGTGAAATAGTATGGCTGATAATGAATTTTGTCATATATAAAAATTATATATAGATACAAATATTTTTACAATAGTACTTAACAATTATATTTTCTCAGAGCAACAAATGCAATATTGTAAATACTGTTTGGTGTTAGGAAAGTTAAATCATTCACATTACTAGATCTTGTTCCCCTTTTATGTTAATGTTATATTAATATAATAAAAAACCCAGGCATATAAGGCGGCATGTAAATATTTGCCTTTGGATACCCATAATTCATTTAGCAATTACAGGTAATTCATGAGACCATTTGAAAAGAAACTGAAAAACTAAGATGAACTGGGAACAGAATTAATTTAGATTCAAATGAGGCAATGTCACTAAGGAGAAGTGATCCCTTGGGTAAACTTGTTTTATCATGGGGAGATAAAATCTTCCTATCATGAAAATGAGGAAATTGGGAAAATATTAGAATCTTAAACTAATTGTCATGCCCTAAGATATTTTCTTTGACTCAAATGGTGTATTAAAATTATTTGGCAACATTTAAAACATATTTAACCAAAACTTTGAAAATTAAATTTAAGGAAAGAAAATTTAACTCTATGTGAGCTTCTATACTTCAATAATGGCTGGCAATAAAAACAACTGACTACTCTCTTGTGACTGAACACTGAGTCACACATCCCCAACTCTTACTGTTTGCCTTACCTCACTGGACAGTGCACATTTAGTCTGTATCAGTTACATTTGTAAACAAGATTGTAATAAATACTGTGCCTGAGAACACCCTGCCACCTAAAACAAGTTCATTTTCTTTTTGTATTACATATTGGGGTCCTACTACCAAAAAGGGGAAATTACTGGTGTGCAATGTTTCTTTCCCCATTCAACACTTTTATACCTCATGCATCCATCATCAATACAGCTCAAAATAGGAAGAAAGATGTATGTAAGCGCCATCAAACAAGTTTCACCTGTGAATTTGATCTTGCCTGCTTGAACGTACTGGAGCCAGACCATCGATTTCGTCAAAGAAAATAATTGATGGGCGCATCTGATAGGCCTACAAAGCAGATCCAGTGGTTGCACGTTATCAAGAAAAACCTCAAGTATATAGATTTAATATAAGCCATTTTAATCCATTTCATTTCCGTCTGCTTATAAGAATTTATTTATAAATCTAAACATAAGTTGAAGAACTGTTTAAAGATTCAGAGTAAATTGTAACTATAGTTTAGTTTTATTTGCATTTTCAACTAGAAATATTTAAACTATATACTTTACTGGTTTAAATGCCTTAGACTTTATATAGTTATAGTTATTGGAACACACATACAAAAAAACTATTAGACCAAGACAAATAGAAGACAATGACATAAACTCCCTCCCTCTGTGCCAGAATGGGAAAACATTTCTCAAAGTGCCAGAGTTTTAAAAAATCTACTTCAACAGAGTTAAAATAAAGCAGCTCAGTGAATTCCATAGATTAAAAAGCATTTAGAAAAAAAGTAGATCATAATGTATTATCTCACAACATGCTATCAATACAATCTGAGATATCAAACTGAAAGTCACTCTGGGGCAGAACTAAACCACAACTTGCGTATGAGATGCTTTATACTGAAGACTGTCTCTTTAAGTATGAAATTACCACGCTCTCTCTAGGTATGTGACCTAGGACTCCAGAGAACTTAAGTCCAACTATTCCTTTCTCTTCTAACAATATAACTGTTCATTACAGGTTGATTTTTTTTTTTTTTAAATATTAAATTTTATTTTTATATTCCCCCATACAATTGCAAACGCCCCATTCTGACCCCAATCCTTCCCCTCCCGCCCCCCAACCCCCAAAAAGTGTCTCTGGTTCATAGTTTTTTGTTGATTTTGATTTTCACTTTCTTATATTCATTTTCCTGGTCCCTTATTTAAGTTTTCTAGATTCCTGCTATGAGTGAGACCTACAGGTTGATTTTTATCTCGCATACAAAAGAAAATGATCTAAAAAGATTACATACTTGGTTTATTTCTTCTGAGTTTATTTTTGTGAAAAGTAATTAAATCTAAGATTTATTTAATCCTTACATAATTGCATTTACATTGATTACATATCTATGTAGATAAATTTTAGTATCATACCTGATCAAAGAGCAATCGTAGCTGTCTTTCAGACTCGCCTACCCATTTACTCAGACAATCAGCACCTTTCCTCATGAAAAATGCTACTCTCTTATCTCCTTGACTGCATTCATTGGCAAGGGCTCTAGCAACCAGAGTTTTCCCAGTTCCAGGTGGACCATAAAATAAACAACCTCTGTAAAGGAAAGTTTATTTTAGCACTGCATTAAAAGATAAATGATTAAAACAACTAGAAACTAATTTTATGAATGCACTTAGTGAGTAAAAAAGTAAATGAGACAAATGAAATATTAAATATTGTTCAATCCACAAAACACAACTTAGAACACGGAATACTAATACTATGAAAGTAAGACTAAAACACAATAAAACCCTTCATTTGAAATGTGTATGTATTTTTATTCATCATGCTCACTGTATTACCTTACCTTGCATACAAGACATACTTAAAAGGACTTGATAGTTTACTTATGCAAGATATAAGGGGAAAGAAGAGGTTAAATCTGTAACTTCTGGTGTCAGTGTCAGTAAAATAACATCAAAATTTTGCAAGAAAAGAAAAAACAAATTAATAATGGTTGGCTGGTAGGGATTAGAAGAACATAAATAAAGTAATACCTGGTGAATTCACTGCTATGAGGTAACCTACAGCTATCTCAGAATATTTCCAGTTATTCATTGCTCTCAAAACAGAATTATGATAAAATGGTCTACAATCATTCTTAGTAGACATGTAAAAAGTATGTAAAAAGAGAATGTGCCAGGGATTAAGTTCTAAAAAAGTAATATGGAATATTCAATTTCAGATCATAAAATAACTGCTTTTGAAAAGAAACACTAATGGGCTTCCCTGGTGGTTTAGGGGTTAAAGTGTCAGTGCAAAAGAATAACTATAAGAAAGAAAAAAATCAAAATCAACAAACAACAATGAACCAGACACACTTCGGGGGAGGTGGGGCGGGGAAAGGAGGAATTGGGGTCAAAATCAGGGGGTTGCAATTGTACGGGGAATATTAAAAAAAAAAAAAGAACTTATACATAGAACATTAAAAAAAAAAAAAAAGTGTCAGTGCTATCAAGCAATCCGCAGCCACGGACGCACAGGTTCGATCCCCTGCCAGGTGGTTGACCCATATGGTATGGCGGACCTCTCCTGTCTCCCCGCTGCTCCCCTCAGCAGTATATTTTAGTAGATCTGTCTGTTCTGCTCCCTGCTTTGTCTCTGGTAAATCCTCTCACCCCCCACACCTCTGACCTAGACCCCAGTTCTTGTATGCATAAATAAATACAGCCTTAAAAAAAAATGGGTAGAGAGCCTCCCCAGTGGCTCAGTGGGTTGAGCACGGCTTTGTGAAGCTGGTCCACAGCCTCTGCAGCGCCGGTTCGATTCTTGGCCAGGGAGAAACCCACATGGCACAGCAGACCTCTCCTGTAGCACCCGCTGCTCCTCTCAGCAGTGTATTTCGTTCCCTCTGCCTGTTCTCCTCCCTGCTCTGTCTCTGGTGAGTCTTCTCACCCTCCCGCACCTCTAGCCTATACCCCAGTGCTTGTAAAAATTAAATATATCTTAAACAAAACAAAACAAAAAAGGGTAGACTCCTAGTGAAGCAGATTGAATACATTTTAAATGTACTTTCCCCCTTAATTCCACTCAGTGCATGAAAAGCAAAGTGAACAACAAAAAGAGATGACATCACTTAAGATATCCCAAGAAAATTTTGCAGGTTACAATGCAGATATAGAAGACACAAAGAAATGGAAAAATATTCTGTGTTCATGGGTTGGGAAAATAAAGTGTTGAAAATGGTCATAAGCCTAAAGCAACTTACAGATCTAATTCAATACCTATCAAAATCCGAACAACATTTTTCAAACAGCCAAAGCAATTGGAAAGAAAAGATAAATGGAGATATCACACTCCATGACTTCAAGCTATATACTACATAGTGAGAGTAATCAAAAAAAAAAGTATGGCTTAGAACAAAAACAAAAACCAGGGCCTCCCTGGTGGCGTAGCGGTTGAGCGCTGGGTTGTTAAGCTGCCCGCAGCCTCTGCAGCGCTGGTTCGATCCCCGGCTGCTCCCCAGCCACTGGAGGAGGGTCCCACAAGGCGCACAGACCTCTCCTGCCGCCCGCTGCTCCCCTCAGCAGTGTACTTCGGTCCTTCTGCCCACTCTGGCTCTGGTGAATTCTCTCACCCTCCTGCGCTTCTGACTGTACCCAGTGCTTGTGTAAACTAACTAACTAACAAAATCTTTAAAAAAAAAAAAATGGAATACAACAGTGCAGAAGTAAGCCCACACAAATATGGGCACTTAATCTTTGACAAAGATGCTATGACATACGACAGAGAAAGGAAAGCCTCTTCAACAAACGGTGCTGGGAAACAAGCACCGTCTCACTTAAAAAAATGAAACCAGTTCATTATTCAATTCCATACAAAAAAATCAATTCAAAATGAATTAAAGTCTTACATAGAGGACCCGAAACCGAAAAATACATAAAAGAAAACATGGGAGATATACATTCCTAGGCATCAACCTCAGATATGTTACTTAGGGACTCAATTCAAGTGGAAAGGAAATAAAAGCAAAAAATAAACAAATGGAATAGCATCAAATTAAAAAGCTTTCACACAGCGAAAGAACCACAAAAACAAAAAGGCAACCTGCAGTTTGGGAGAAGATGTTTGTGTATGACATGTCTGACGGGGTTAATTTAAAAAAATACAATTCAACAACAAAAGAACAAACAAGCCAATCAAAAGATGAGCAAAAGAGCTAAACAAACACTTCTCCAAAGAAGACACAGATGGCCCAAAGGCACATAAAAACATGCTCAGCATCACTTATTATAAGAGAAATGCCGATCAAAACCACAGCAAGATAACACCTCACACATGTCAGAAGGGCCTGCATAGACAGCAAACAACAAATGTTGTTGAATGTATGAAGGAATTCTCGTTCAATGTTAGTAGAAGGTAAATTGGTACAGCTACTATAGAAAATGGTATAGAGATTTCTTAAAGAACTAAAAGTGAACCTACTACATGATCCGGCAATACCTTTCCTTAGCTGATTATCCAAAGAATATCAAAAAGACAATATGCACTCCTATCTTCATTATTCACAATAGCTATGCTACAGAATGAACTTAAATGCCCACCAACTAATGACTGGATAAAGAAATTGTGGTATATATACTCAATAGAATATTTCTCAGCTATTTAAAAAAGATAAAATAGTGTCTTTTGGGATGGATCTTGATGTGATAAAGTTAAATGAAGTCAGAAAGTTAAAGACAATTATTGGATGGTTTCACTTACTTGTAGAGTATAAGTAATTGAAGAAATCAAACTGGCAAAACACAAAAGTAACTCTATGAAAAATAAAGTAGAGGGGAGGAGTTAGAGGAGGGATAGGAGAAGAAAAATGACAGGGTAGTGGCAGAGGAACATCAGTGACGGATGAGTGTAGAATATGAACGTTTAAGTATGACGCTGTACTCCCAAAATTATAGTTATGTAAAGGAATGTCAAATCAGTAAAAAAATGATTAAAAAAAATTACATGACCTGAGCAAACCTGGAAAAGCTAAAAAATTAAATAAAAAAGCCCCAAATAATAGTCAATTTATAAAACCACCGTTAAGAGTTTAGAAGCAGGGCCTCCCCGGTGGCGCAGCGGTTGAGCGCCGGGTTGCGAAGCTGCCCGCAGCCTCTGCAGCGCCAGTTCCATCCCTGGCTGCTCCCCGGCCACTAGAGGCGGGTCCCACATGGCGCGCAGACCTCTCCTGCCGCCCGCTGCTCCCCTCAGCAGTGTACTTCGGTCCTTCTGCCTGCTCTGCTCCCCACTCTGGCTCTGGTGAATTCTCTCACCCTCCTGCACTTCTCACTGTACTCAGTGCTTGCATAAATGAATGAATGAATGAATGAATGAATGAATAAATAAATCTTAAAAAAGAAAAAAAATTTAAAAAGAGTTTAGAAGCAATGTATTTCAAGGCAGGAATGAAAGGTAAGGTTGAAGGAGGAAGGGGTAACAGTGAGACCTTGATTCTCTGCGCCTATCCTATGCAAGCAACTTACTTGGGTGGTTTATTTTCTGGATGAGTTAGAAAGTCCATACCTACTGGTGCAACCAACTAACACTCAGTTTCACTGCTAAAATGCTGGCAGCCAGGCTGATAATTTTCACAAAACTGTAAGATTCATCTCTGGGAAAAAACACCCATAGATACTGACTTTGAGGATTTAGGGTGAAAGAATCAGCACCACTAATCACCCTAATGTGAAGCCTATGAATTAACAAGCCCCACTAATGAGCTTTAGGGAGGAAAAAAAAGAAAAAAAAAAAGCTTTAACAGACAGTTAAAAAGAGTTAACTCTCTTTTTAACAGAGAGTCAAGGGATCACTAGATACTTAAGGAAGGCCTCTATCATCAAGAGACCAAAAGAGAGAAAAGGTAAGAAAAGTAAATTAATCTAGAAGGTCTAACATTTATCTGACATGAATTAAGGAAAGAGCAAAAAATGAAGTGGAAGTTACCAAAGAAACAAAAAAATTGTCTAGAAATCAAAGAATCAAAGACATTTCAAATTACAAAGATATTGAACAACGAAGGGGGAGGGGAAAAGGACATTAATAAAGTGTGAAGTTACATTCTCAAAAAAGAAAATAGGGCCTCCCAGGTGGCGCAGTGGTTGAGCGCTGGGCTGCGAAGCTATCCGCAGCCTCTGCAGCGCTGGTTCAATCCCCGGCCGCCGGGTGAGGGTCCCACATGGCGCGCAGACCTCTCCTGCCACCCGCTGCTCTCCTCAGCACTGTATTTCGTCATTCTGCCTGCTCTGTTCCCTGCTCTGGCTCTGGTGAATCCTCTTACTCTCCGCGCTTCTGACTGTACCCAGTGCTTATGTAAATAAATAAACAAATCTCTTAAAAAAAAAAAATTGATATAATCTCAGGATATTCCTAAAATGTGTTTTAGTGAAGCACAACTATAAACCAAAAAGGCCTCAGCTAAACCAAGGAAGCAGGGAACTCCGCACTGAAAGAAACATAAAAGTAATTCCATGATGATGGTGATGGTAAGACCAAAGGCTTAGTTACGCTACAAGACTAAGAGCAAAGGGAAGCAGAGCAAAGGTTTTAGGAAGATGTGTTAAGAAAAATGAGGAGCTAACATGTTACTTGACATATATGACTACTGAAAAGAATTTTATAACGAAGATTACATGGATGAACTAATAAGGACACATCAAAGCGTATACAAAAAAAACAATGCCCTACTCCCAACACACACACCCCAAACCAGACAAGAATTAAAGCTGAGGGTGGAAGAAGAGGCTGTAAAAGAGAGGAAATAGTCATATTATGCAATATATGGGTCAGCTCTAGGAAATTATCACATAACCATAAAGTAAACCTGTGTATCAATTCAACAATTTTATTTATTCATTTATTTATTTTTTAAAATGATGTTGCATGAATATGATTTTTTTTTTGTTTATTTATTTATTTATTTTTATACAAGCACTGGGTACAGTCAGAAGCGCGGGAGGGTGAGAGAATTCGCCAGAGCCAGAGCGGGGAGCAGAGCAGGCAGAAGGACCGAAGTACACTGCTGAGGGGAGCAGCGGGCGGCAGGAGAGGTCTGCGCGCCATGCGGGACCCTCCTCCGGTGGCCAGGGAGCAGCCGGGGATTGAACCGGCTCTGCAGAGGCTGCGGGCAGCTTCGCAACCCAGCGCTCAACCGCTGCGCCACCGGGGAGGCTGGCAGCCAGGCTGATAATTTTCACAAAACTGTAAGTAAAGCATCTTTATAGGACAAGCTTTATTAAATGTATGAAGTCACAAGAGATATCATTTTCAAAGAATCAATTTTGAAACCATTTTTCATGTGAAATATTAAGAAAGTAAAAATATTCAAAGCATCCAGTTCCTTGGAGAAGTATAATTACTGTCAAGTTGGAAAATTTAAATAGAAAAGTACCAATTTTCTGTACAATAACAGCATAACACAGATTCTGGTTAAAAAATGTAATCAGATTACCTTGGAGGCTGAATTTTGAATTTCTCAAAGACTTCTGGGTAAAGTAGTGGAAACACCACCATTTCTTTTAGAGCTGCAATATGATTAGATAGGCCTCCAATACTATCAAATCGCACCTGGTAATAGAAGAGTAACGTTGAAATTATTAATTTTTAAGCCAAATTGTCACTCCATCCCCAGACCACAGTCAACTGAGTAACCATATCTTAGTTGCAGTGTGATTATTAAATAATATGTAAAGACTTAACTTTCTGATGAAAAAAAAACTTTTCTCTTTAATTTTTAAAACTAAACTAAAACAAAAAACAATATACAGTTTAAGAATATGCTTCAAAATACTACTCACTGAAGAATCGAGCTGCATTGGGTCAACATCAGCAAGACTTGCTCCAATTTTCATTCGATCTTTATAAATTCCTTTTAATTCATCTTTCCGAAAATTTAGTGGCAGGCATCTGTTAAAAAAAAAAAAAAATCCTTCAACTCACCTTCCTCCCCAAATTCCACATTAGAATAGGGATATTGTTCTTTTTTTTTTTTTTAAACATTTATTTCTTTATGTGTGTAAGAACTGGTATAGAGGCCAGAGGTGTGGAGGGTGAGAGGATTCACCAAAGACAGAGCAGGGAGCAGAACAGGCAAACTGACTGAAAACACTGCTAAGGGAAGCAGCGGGCAAGAAAGGAGAGGTCTGCTGCGCCATGTGGGTATCTCCCTGGCCGTCTGGGATCTAATTTGTGCTGCAGAGGCTGTGATAGCTTCATAGAGCTGTGCTTAACCCCTTGAGCCACCAGGGAGGCTTGGGATATTTTTCTTAAAAATTAAAAAAAATTTCAACTGGAGCAATCTTGAGATTATGTATTATAAATTCTTCATTTTCCTTATAGGCTGAGAACTTAAAGTGTTAGAAAAACATATTATCTATCTGAAGCCTTACTGTAAGATTAAAGATATACAACCAAATGAAAATATTGGTTTTTCAAGATGACACAGCAACTTCAAGAAATTCATGGTTGAGAATTCACAGTATCAATATACATTACAATGACTGTGTGTAACACATGCAGAATGTTTACCATTTGGCAAAGAGTATTTTAGTTTAGGTATTTTATATGGAATGGTTCATTAAATCCTAGTAGTCTTATGAGGTTGGTATTTTTATTTTTCCTACTTTAAAAGAAAGCCAAAGTACAAAAAGTTCAATTAACATCACCAAGGTCGGGTCTCCCTGGTGGCACAGGCAGTTGGGTGCAGGGCTGTGAAGCTGTCCGCAGCCTCTGCAGTGCCCGTTCGATCCCTGTCAGCTGTGGAGATACCCACATGGCATGGCAGACCTCTCCTGTCTCGCCCGCTGCTCCCCTCAGCAGTATATTTCAGTCATTCTGCCTGTTCTGTTCCCCACTGTCTTTGGTGAATCCTCTTGCCCTCCCACACATCTGGCTTGTACCCCGGTTCTTGTATAAATAAATAAATCTTAAAAAATATATATATTTAAAAACAAAACAAAACAAATAAACATGACCAAGGTCACAAACTACTAAGTGGCCGAGCCAGGAATCAAACACAAGCTGTGTCACCAGACATGCAACAACTTTTGCTATAAAATCTCCCAACAAAATGTTGAGTCCACCAGCATTTGGATAGAAACCAATCTTCTCAAGCAAGGAAGTGTTACTACTTTCAAAAAAGTTACGGTAGATTTCAGAGAATATACCTAGAAGAACCTGCTTGTTTTCTAGATGGGAGAATGAAAACTGATGCTATCAGATGTTAAGATATCTGTATGAGAAAGCCTAAGAAAGAAGCACAATTGAACACTAGTAAAATCAGACCATGCTTATTCACCCAAGTGTTAATTCTCTCTTGCCCTAAAAATAAATTGCCCATGAGGAATTTATACATTGATCGAAGGTACACAAAATTTCAATTGTGGCTTCTTAAATAATTCTTAATATAAACACAAGTATATAAGATAAAACCCACAGAAGTAGATGCCTATTTCTATAAATGAAGGCAAAGAAAAAGCCAACTAATCTAAATATACAGCTTTTGCTTTAACTCACTGTTGTCTAATAGAAATGAAATGCAAGCCACAAAGAAATTTAGATTTTGTTACCCATCCTAAGCAAAGAAAAAAGTAAAATTAATTTTCATAATTTTCTTTATTCTATCAAGAATATTATCAAATCAATATACAAACAATATTTTTAAAATTGGGATAGTTTATATCTTTCTGCATTAAGTCTTTGAAATCCAAGAGTGTATCTTTCACAAAAGCTTATAGTATATATCAATTCAGACTCACTGTATTTAAAGAATTTAACAGCCGCACATGGCTAGTGGCTACCACACTGCTGTAACATGATTAATAAAGGATGCAAAGAATGTGATATAAAGAATGACTGGTTTACATGCCCCTTTAATTATGTTCAAACTGCTTCGTCAAGCACTGCTTTCTATTCTAAAAATACCATGTTTTTAGAATCTAAACACTACATTTCTCATTTGCCCACCCATACCTGTAAAGGAGAATCATCCTTGTCCTATCTACTCAGATAATTATTGTGAAAATCAAATGAGTTGATTAGTACACGTGGAGACTTACATTATATGGAGTATGAAATGAGTAAATCCTTCAATTTTCCTTGAGTTCTATAATAAGAACGTATTGTCATAAACAAAACATATATATTTGGAATGAAAAAATTTAGTTGCTTCCTCAAATTAGTGTTTACCAGGCACCATTTTGAGTAATATAATGGTTGTTCAAGAAGACATGATCGTAACCTACTATTAGTTTCAAAGTTAGACATTTCAAACAAGACAGTATGTACAGGTTTGTACATTAACCTGTTGCGTAATTTTTCAATTAGTCAAGCTGTACCTATTCCCAAATTATTCAGTTTCTTACCACCTAAAAAGAAAAAGAAAAAAAGCTGGCAATTTAAAAAGGTATCAATATGGCATATACCTGTTGATAGCTCTATTACGGCTCTTTTTTCTTCGCCTCTCAAACTGCTGTTCATCATCAGAAGAGGAAGATGAAGTAGAGTCACTACTGTGGATTGCATGCCTTCGCCTAAAGTAAAGAAAACTGAAATTATGATGGAGAAGGGCAGGGGAAAAAAGGCGTAAGACACAATCATCAGAAATACCTAACAATCCAAATAGGTTTATGATAAGATTAATACATTTGCTGAACAAATAAAGTAATCTTAATTGTTTTTTTTTTTAAAGATTTATTTATTTATACAAGAACCAGGGTACAGGCCAGATGCGCGGGAGGGTGAGAGGATTCACCAGAGACAGAGCGGGGAACAGAACAGGCAGACTGATGAAATACACTGCTGAGGGGAGCAGCGGGCAAGACAGGAGAGGTCTTCTCGCCATGTGGGTTAGTCCGAGGCCGGCACTGCAGAGGCTGCAGACAGCTTCACAGCGCAGCGCTCAACTGCCTGCGCCACCGGGGAGGCCCAATTGGTTGTATTTTTGAAGGTAATAAAATACTTGGATAACGAAGAAGAAAAAAGAGGACACGGCAATAGAGCTGACCATTAAATGTTCATTAAAATAGGGCATGACCCAAGCAGAGTGATTCTTAATTTTGATTTAAATCAGTTTTCCTCAAAGAGCAAGATAGGATAAAGAGGATATGACCATCTTTGGGATTGTAATTTTTTTTAAAAAAGATTTATTTATTTATGCATATAAGAACTGGGGTACGGGCCAGAGGTGTGGAGGGTGAGAGGATTCACCAGAGACAGAGTGGGGAACAGGCAGACTGACTGAAATACACTGCTGAGGGGAGTAGTGGGCGAGACAGGAGAGGTCTGCTGTGCCATGTGGGTAGCTCCCTGGCAGGGGATAGAACTTGTGCTGCAGAGGCTGCAGCTAGTTTCATAGGTTGCGTCTTTACCCCCTGTGCCACCAGGGAGGCCCTGGGATTGTAATTTTTGAAAGTACCTTCAATGTTTCATGATAAATAGTTTCACATTTGGAAGGGAATACCTATTTCCAAATGTCAAAAAACCTTAAAAGGAGAAAATGAGAAATTTTATGTAAACAAATCAAGAAGGGTAAAAACTGTTAGGAAATAATAAATAAGATGGGTCTTTTATCTACAGTATAGTATTAATTTTGTAAAGTCACAACTGTCATATATGTAGATGAGTTGTCCAACTCATATGAGCCTCAATTTTCTCACTTAACCAAATAAAAGATAAAAATATCAAATTCATAGGTTGGTATTAAGATTTTTTTAAAAAAAGTAATCATTTCTAATACTGGACAATTAATTGCAAAAGACCTATGCGAGGGGGGGGGGTTTCAGGGGAAGAGGGGAGGTGAGCAAAGAATCTGACTGGGAAAACCTTTAATCACTCTATTTGCTCAGGGTCTAAGCTTTTCTTGAGTCAGAGTGTTATTACAGTTAGGTAATTCCAAAATGTAAAAAGTTCACAAACTATTATTTGGATAATGTAGACCCAGAACTTTGTACCTAAAAAATTCTGAAAACATATCTTTCTATTAATTTGAAATGTCATAAAGGCAATTTATACTTACTATGACTACTCAAATGTTTTGCTATAGAATATACTTCACTACATTGTTGTAGCACAGATGCCCCCTGCAAGGTTTATGTTGCACATTATGTGTATTGCATGTTACCTTTGTAAATCACTCCCTGCCACCCACAATCTGAAACACAAGTGGCCCCAAAGATTTCGGATAAGAGATTGTGAAAACACAGAAATAAGTGAGAAAATATTCCTTTACTGTTCATCTACCCACACACACCCAAGGTAAGCCTGAAACTAAAGCTAGCATAAGTCCACAGTTTTATAAGAACAACTGATTTAATATTACTATTAATATTACAGAGATTCTAATTTATAGTCACATAATTCACATAAATGTTTATGGTTTCACCATGCAGCCACATAGACTAACTTCACAGTTAGCACACAGTTACTGAGTGCTTCTGGGAATTTTTCATATTATTTCATTCTTTTTTTTTTAAGATTTAATTTATGCATACAAGAACTGGAGTACAGGCTACAGGTGCAGGGGGTGAGAAGATTCACCAGAGACAGAGTGGGGAACAAAACAGGCAGACTGACTGAAATACACTGCTGAGGAAAGCAGTGGGTGCGTCAGGAGAGGTCTGCTGTGCCATGTAGGTAGCTCCCTGGCTGGGGATTGAACTCATGTTGTAGTGGCTGCAGAGAGCTTCATAGGTTGCATCTTAACCCCTTGAACCACCACCAGGTAGGCCTTCATTCATTCTTTATTAATGTTAAAGCTATTAAATATGTCAGTGTAACATGTAAACTTAAGGTGTTCCTATTAATTTGATACATTTATATACTGTAATATGAATGTGACTGTAGCAATAATAAGCACCTATCATATTACATTATTATCCTTTCTTTTTTAATGGTTAGAATAAATTCTAGTCTCTTAGCAAGTTCGATGATTATTCCCAAAGTTCAGATCTACATACTAATAATGCTGGTGACACAATAAAATCCTTTGAACTAATACGAAATTTCCAAAGTTTGATTACAATGTGGGTACTTTTAAACACTTCAATTGTAAAAAACATATGTAGCACTCAATGTGGTTCACACACTAAATACTTATACGTATCAATTCACCTAATTCTTAAAATACTGTAAGATAGGACCTATTATCTTCATCCCACAGTTCAAAAATCTAAAGCACAGACTGCCTGGTAACTTGCCAAAGATCACTAATAAGTGCTAGACCTGAACGTGAAGTCCAGGGCAGGCCTAGTCATGAGTCCAGGTTCTTCGTAATTATTCTATACTGAAGAAAGGCCATTATTTCAGGTTACAAAGGATTATAAACACATATACCCACACTCGCTCTTTTTTCATTTTACTAAAAACTTTTAAAAAGGGGCATGGACAAGCACTGGAACAGCATTTTAAACCTAACCAGAGCTCTTAAGAGTTACCAGTTCTATGGGCCTCCCCTGGTCGCACAGGCGGTTGAGCACAGCGCTGTGAGACTGTCCGCAGCCTCTGCAGTGCAGGTTTGATCCCAGCCGGCCGGCAAGGGTCCTCCTACATGGCGTGGCAGACCTCTCCTGTCTTGCCCGCTGCTCCCCTCAGCAGTGTATTTCGTCAGTCTGCCTGTTCTGTTCCCTCTGGTGAATCTTCTCACCCTCCCGCACAATTGGCCTATACCCCAGTTCCTGTATAAATAAATAAATAAATCTTTAAAAAAAAAAAAAAAAAAAAAAAAAAGTTGTCAGTTCTAGTGCCTTGACAACAGGTAAGGAGTATTTTGGAATATTAGCAAAAACAATTGTGCTATTATGTTATCTTCTTATTCAAAGGGGTTAAGTTTATCCCAGAAATTGCAAACTTAAGCTGAAAAATAAACCTTAAGGGCCTCCCTGGTGGTGCAAGCGGTTGAGCGCCGCACTGTGAAGCTGTCCGCAGCCCCTGCAGTGTGGGTTCGATCCCAGCCAGCCGTCAAGAATCCCAGATGGCGTGGCAGACCTCTCCTGTCTCACCACCTGCTCCCCTCAGCAGTGCATTTTCAGTCAGTCTGCCTGTTCTGCTCCCCACTCTGTCTCTGGTGAAGCCTCTCTCCCTCCTGCGCTTTTGACTGTACTCAGTGCTTGTATAAAAAAATAAATCTTAAAAAAAGAAAAAAAAAAGGCGATGAAATATTCATACCACCTTGCAAGAAAGTTAAAGAGAAAAAAAAAAGCTTCAAAAGGTAACTGTCAAAAGATCAGGTGATAACAAGCATTAGTAAAAATGTGGAAAAATTGGAAGTTTTAGACGCTGCTTTATGGGAATGTAAGATGGTGCAGACATTTTGGAAAACAATTTGACAATTCCGCAAAACATTAAATATAAGCATATGACCTAGCAATTCCACTTCAAGATATCACCCAAGAGTAATGAAAATATGTATACATGTGAAGTTGCATATTCAAATTCATAGCAGGCCTTTACACAATAGCTAAAGTGGAAACAAAATAAATGTCTAGGGGCCTCCCTGGTGGCTCAAGGGGTTAAGCACCACACCATGAAGCAATCCGTAGCCTCTGCAGCATGAGCTCAATCCTGAGCTCTATCTCCGGCTGGCCAGGGAGCAACCCACATGGTGCAGCAGACCTCTCCTGATGCGCCCACTGCTCCCCTCAACAGTGTACTTTGGTCAGTCTGCCTGTTCTGTTCCCCACTCTGTCTCTGGTGAATCCTCTCACCCCCCGTATCTCTGGCCTGTACCCCAGCTCTTGTACACTATTAAATAAATCTTAAAAAAAAAAAAAAAAAAAAAGTCTATCAACTGATCAATGGATTAACAAAATATGATATACTCATGTACTGGAATCTTCCTAGACAATAAAAAGGAATGACATACTGATACATGCAACCATGTGCATTTACACTGAAAGTGTTATCCCAAATGAAAGAAGCCAGTAAGAAAAGATTCCACTTAAATGAAATACCCAGAAAAGGCAACTCTATAGAAACAAAAAGTGAATGCTATTACTGGGGTCTTCCTGGTTGCGCAAAGGGTTAAGCACAGCTCTGCAAAGCTATCTGCAGCCTCTGCAGCTCGAGTTAGATCCCTAGCCAGCCAAGGAGCTACCCACCTGGCATAGCAGACCTCTCCTGCCTCGCCCCCTGATCCTCTTAACAATATAGTTCAGTGAATCTGCCTGTTCTGCTCCCCTCTGTCTCTGGTGAATCCTCTCAACCCCCCACACTTCTGGCCTACACCCTAGTTCTTTCACACAAAATAAACAAAAACTAAACAAAACAAAATATATGTATACATATATCTATATATATATAAACTTTAAGGGAGTTATCAAAACCAACACCAAGAAGGTCACTGCATAAAATAATGTGCCCTATACTTTAGACATGTCAGAATCCTCCAATAGTTTATAAGATCTCCAGGTAAAAATCCTGGGTTAGTCATTTTTATACCCACAGTGCTTCACAAGCAGTAGTACTCAAACATTTGTTAAATAATTAAGAGAGGGGGAAAATCCTTTACCCATGGAGTTATGAAAAAATGTGAGACACCTTCCCAACACAGAATGAGTAGACTCTGTAAACATGAGTACTCCAGAACCAAAGGGGCAGAAAGGTTTCCTACTCTCTGGATGATGTGTTGTTTATAAAGAAAGTCAATGAGCAGCATGTTACTTCTAGAAACAAATGCATTAAAGATGGGAAAAGAAATTAAATCTCAAAGTAACTACCAGCCTCACTTCTGCTCACTCTTAGAGAGACCTGTCCCTTAAATTAGGCAACCAAGACAGCTGCTCTGGGCATATGCTTGGTGGTGATTTCACAGAGTACTATACTTTCCTTTTCTGAAGATCATTAAACTTCACTACTAAGTCTTTCACAATATGGCACCAATGAAAAGTACCAAAACACGGCATCGTTGGGAGTAATTTATCTTGGGCATCCCTGACAGGCTGAGTTTGCGTTCCTGGTTATCCATCTCTCCTCTGGTTGTGTGAAAAGGGATGATGAAACAAGAAATCTAGAATGTATACTTGTGATTTTAAGAATCTTAAAATAAAAAGACCTAAGGACACATGCAGTATTTCATTTTCCCTGTGAGAGCAATTGCCAGCACTTTCAAGGTGCTTCCTTCCATGACCAAAACATGGTCAGATAGTCTGCTTCTATGAGATTTCAAGAATTGTTGCCATAGCTGCAGTCTCATAGGATTTCACTTTTACTTCTTAGCAAATTAATAGCATTAGGGAAAAAGTACCATTTCCTAAACCAATGTCATTCCCCCCCCTCTGCCATTTTAGTCTTCACCAACAAACTGTCTCATTCATAAACTACTAGTACATCGAAAGTTCTAATGCATCAGAAAGTCATTTATTATTTAGGAGAATGAGCAAATAACAAGAATTCTCTTTTGAACTTAAATATGAGACAAGCGACAAGTGTGGGGATGCAGAAGGAAAAGGAATTCACAAATAATTTGAACAAAGAAAATTAATGTTCCCTATATGTAAGAGAAACAAATTAAAAAGTAGACCCAGAAAAGGATGGCGAGTGTCATGAGCAGTCCAGAAGTTATATAGCTTAGAAAGTTTGTCATGGTAGGAAAATATGTGTGTGATAGATTAAACCTATGCTCTAACTTAGTGAAGATTAAATGAAACTGTCTATATAAATGCTTAATACCAAGCAGGGAGTACAGAAACTAAAGCAAAGGTATTAAAGTGTGGAACAATGACAAACTACCTTACCATGGTAGTTACTAACAATACCTATCAGTGGAAGCAAAAATAAAAACTAGACGGCAGTAGTAGGGATTAGAGCAGTAAAGACATACAGCTAAATCTTCCAAATATACTCAATTCTGGAATCAGACAGCACTGTGAAATTCTATATTGATACACCCAATCCTAAAACTCTAGAATCCCATCCTAACATAGCCGCAATGTTGTCATGAATCAATCACTACTTCAGAAGCAAACCTGTTCATTCGTTTACAATAAGGACTTCTTGGTCCCGCAGAAGATAGTCGATATCTTGATCTTGCAGGAGAAGCTGGGCCACTGTAAAATATGTTGGGCTTTCTCTGGTGACGAGGTTCTAAAAAACAAAACAACAACAACAAAAAATCACATCTATATGATACGTAAGTATAATTTTGTACTTCATCAAAATACTACAAGGGTGCTTCTCTCATGAAAACACTACTACACATATATTGGAATATTTTACTGATCATGTTTTAAATCATTTATGTCTACAGAGTTGCCACTGAAATTATGGATAGCAGAGACACCAACCAAAACACACTGGCCATAAACAACCATTATGATTACACTGATGTATAACAGCTGATTATAAGCCCTGTACATGTTAATAAGTATTGAGGCTCAAAACTGATATAAATCGAAAGCACTCCTAATTATATATACTAACAAAATAAACTAAGTAGAAAACTGTGGAATCAAATAGACAAAAACATAGATTTCAAAATAGCCCAATTATTTGCTTTGGTCAAGGCTAACATTTAACTTTCTCTGGAAGAACTGACTTCTTAAACATTTAGGATAGATATGAAAGACAAAGGTCAAGAGTAGTTAAGAAAATAAAGACAGAAAGAATAGAGGATGAGCAGTAAACATAAAGGTAATATAAGTACATCTCCTGGGAAAAATACATATACCACATACTTTCCAATGGCGCTTGGTAATATACAGTGGCTTTTCTCTGTCTAAGATAGTATCGTTTCTGATTATCTTCTTCTCCATCTTCTTCATCTTCATCATCATCATCATCTTCATCTTCTTGGTCTTCCCCCTCTTCAGATGATTCTGCAGTTAAGAAACATTTACTTTCAGGATACTCAGCAAAATGTTAATTTTTAACATCAGGGAAATGGGATGATCTACTTATAGACTGTTCATAGAAAGAATCTAATTTTTTTTGTAACATGAAATGAAGATTTTTAAAAATAAATGATAGAATTAAAAATAACTAAGGGGGGGAAGTAAAGAAAGTTGTCTGAAGGCTGTTTTAAGTACTAACCTAAAGTTTATAATATTGCCATAAATTTCATCAATATAGGAGACTAAAAAACTTAAGCTCCAAGTTACTGACAAAATTTAGTATCACCTCACTTTGCTTTTGCCTATTTTAAACTTAAGTTTCACATTCCATCCAACCCTTGTAGCTGTTGAGTTACTTGTACCAAAACTCAAATAATCTACTTAACGATAGTGTAAACTACCCTCACCAAACACTTAAAATCAATTTCATTAAACTGGTTATAACTCAAGAAAAATTCTAATATATCACAGCAGAAAATCATCAACAGACTAATAAAACTAAATTTCAGTTACCTTTAAATAAGATAGGCACAGAGAAACGTGTTGTCCGTTGATGTACTGTTTAAGTTTAAGCAAACCAATTTTATTTACTTCGAAACTGATTTCAAATACTTTCGCAAACAAAACATATTATCCTTTTAAGCTCTCCTCTGCTACCACTTTCTTCCTTTGAAATTATGACCAATCCTCTGATCACTCACAAACTACTATAGCTTCTAAAAAGCATATTTCCTATTAAATAAAAATGATTAAATTCAAACCCAGACGGAACTAACCTGCACTGCCTTCTTGATTGTCAGTTGTTTCTTCATCAGTTCTTTGAATATCTTTCTGTTTTCCTCTTGTGTACATATTAAGATCCCCCTCAAACATTTAAAGAAAAGCCATTACATTCAGTATATTTTTAAAAAAAGTTCAGTAAGAACTCCAAATATTGCATAAAATGAAGATATCAACGGCGATAAAACTTTCACAATTCCAGCAATGACTAGTGACTGATCAAAAAATGCTGAACAAAGTAACAATTTAACTAATGGTTAAAGTTAAAGGGGTCAAACTGGAGATTAAACCATCCTCTTAACAGAAGAACATACTTACTTCTCCTGTTTCGTTAAACACTCCCAAGTCTTCAAGTTCTCTCATTCGCTGTCTACGCATCTTCTTCATGTCATCCATTTTTTGAAGTACAGCTTCAGCAGTGCTTGAAAAAAAAAAAAAGGTAATAAATAAGCTAAATTTCTAAAAGTAGTAAAATTTAAAATCTTAAACTTTCTCCCATTGGACTGAGTGATATTTAAAAATTCTATAAGCATTGTTTTACTTTTACAAAAGTACTTTGAAGTTTCTTTGCAACAATCCAATATATAGCATTTATCACAAAATCCTCTAATAAACATACTTCATGGTTTACACAAACAAAAAGCAAATATTCAGGCTAGCTAAAATTTGTGATCCCTTTCCAGCAGAAAAAACTTTGCCAGCTAAATCAGCTTGATCTAAATAATTTTTTACTTACTTTGTTATAAGTTTGTCAAACAGTACAGACTGGTTCATCGCACCATAACGACTTCTAATTCTACAGCTGCGGCGTACTTCTACATCGCCATTCTCTTCATGCAAGCGTTCCGTAGTTTGAACAATGTTTCTAGTCCTTGATGATGGAGTAACTGGAATCACTTTATCTTCATTGATGCATATATAAAAATAAGTGAAAAGATTTAAAATAGCATTTATGAAACAATTCTAGGACCTCCCCGGTGGCACAGCTGTTGAGCGCTGGGTTGCCAAGCTGCCCGCAGCCTCTGCAGCGCCAGTTCGATCCCCGGCCACCGGGCGGGGGTGCCACATGGCGCACAGACCACTCCTGCCGCCCGCTGCTCTTCTCAGCAGTGTACTTTGTCAGTCTGCCTGTTCTGTTCTCCACTCTGGCTCTGGTGAATTCTCTGACCCTCCCGCACTTCTGACTGTACCCAATGCTTGTATAAATAAGTCTTAAAAAAATTAAAAAATAAAACAAAAAATTCTAATATGAAAACTCAGTTAGCTACACTTTCATATAACAAAATTATAGCATCTTGAACTTAACTTTCTTAAAAATATTAAAGTGTTCTAATACAACATCACTTCAATAAATAAATTAGGTAGCAGGACAAATTAAGGTAGATAATAAACAATTTGGCCTTTACACACCAATTTAGTTTCTGAAACAAAAATGTTTAAGAAATATTAGAAAACAAAAATAAAGTTATAACATACACCTACCATTTAATCCAGTCATTCCATTCTCAAGCAAAAAGGAAAGATATATAATACAGACTTGTGTACAAATGTTCAAAGCATTTTTCTGATAGCCTCAAATGTCCATCAAAAGATGAATAAACAAATTGTGGGAAACAACCTAAGCATCCATCAATGGATAAAGACAATGTGCAAATAATATCACGTACACTCACATAATGAAACATTATTCAGCAAGGAGGACAACATGGGTGGACCTTGAGGGCATTATGCTAAGTGACAACACTATGCTCAGTGACAGGAAAGGAATTATCTCACTTATCTGTGGAATCTTAAAAAAAAAAATCCAAATCTACAGAAACAGATTAGACTAGTTGTTACCAAGGAGGAAGGGAGAAGAGGATTTTGAGAAAAGGGAAGATGTTGGTCAAAGAGTACAAACTTCCAGCTATAAGACGAGTAAGTTCTGGGGATCTTACATATAATGTAAAAATTATAGTAATATTGTATTATATACTTGGAAATTGCTGACGAAAATTTTAAATGTTCTCATCACAAAAAAAAGAAATGGTAATTATGTGACACCATAATAGCTATGACTAGCAAATCAATATGTGTTGTATGCATACCTTAAACTCACTGTATATAATTGTAATTACGTTACAATAAATGTGGAGGGGATTGTAGTATAGCCATATAATGGAATACCACTCAGCAATAGTAAGTAACAACATGTTGGGATATTCAAATATGTTGAAAGTCAGACAAAAAAGAATGCACAATATATAATTTCACAGATACAAAATGCTAGACTATGCAAAGTAATCTAGAGTAACAGAAAGCAGACTGGTGGTTGCTCAGAAAAGCCGAACTAGGGGAGCCAAAAGGGACTATAAAGGGGACTTTATAAAGGAAATTTTGGAGGGCAGTTGTTATCTTCACCACCTTACTGTGGTGACAGTTGAACATCATATGCTTATATGAGTAGGAACTGCATGCATCTCATACACATGTAAACAAAATATTAATTACATGTTTAAAAAATCTGAAATGTCTTTAACATTACTTACCTTCTTTGCTCTCTTCCTTTTTTTTGTTTGCCTGCTGTCTGGCCAACTGCCTACATGAAAAAAATACACTCAATAATTCAAAGTAATTGATGTAACTCGAAAATATCTATGCTGATATGAATTGTGGCTAGATAAAGTCTAAGAACCCTGCTGTGAAATTCATTTACTCTTAGCTAAACATAATTAAATGCAAAGCCTCTTACTTAGAATAAATGAAATCTGTAGCCTGAGTGTTTAGGTATAAATGGCCTAAGCTCTGAGCAAAAATAAGACAATGTGTTTTATATCACAGGGCTACAGCGATCTCACATCTTTGAGAATATAGACCTACAAACAGAACTAATGTCCTTTGTGACATTCCAATTTCCAAGAACATTTGTTGGCTATAATTTTATAAACACAGGTGAAAACAGTCCTATTCACGAATCATATATTTCACCTACAAACTAGCAGATACAATCTAATTAATTGCAGAGAAAAATTTCTAATGCTTAAAAAAAAAAAAAAAAAGTACCCACCCTCCACTCATATTTTTTCCAGAATCCAGTGAACAAACAAAACAGTAAGTCTCATTAACTTATTCTTAGTAACTCAATTTTCCTTACTATTTGAACAGGCTGTATCTTTATTTGCAAATGGGCTGGTTATACACATGGAATTTCAAATGTGATACTTTAAGATAAAATGAAACCATCTTATCCAGAAGAGTTAATTCATCTATTCTTGTAACAATATGTGTCATCAAACAGGAAAGAAACAAGAAGAAAAGAAAAACCTCTGCGAACTCCATTTACAGGTCTAGGGTTACCGTTTTCAAAGGCTCATCATAGACTTTTCTTGTAAAGGAGCCCTTCTATACCATTTAGATCAATACTTTTATAATCCAGAGCCCTGTGAGATGCTAGGGACATAATCATTAAAGCAGTGTTTTTCTTCTCCTTTTTTTTTTTTTTTTTTTGCCTGCCTGGGCAGGGGAGCACGCTTCGCCCTGCAGATGTTGATAAAACTTTTTCTTAAAGGGTCGGATATTTTAGACTTATGAGTCATACAGTTTCTGTACCAACTACTAGAACAACTGTAACACTGAAACAGGAAAGCTATCAGACAGAATGAATGGGCATGGCTTTGTTTCAGTGAAACTATTTGTAACAACTGACTTTTGTCAACCTGAGACTATGATGAAAGCGATGACTCTTTTCTCCCTAGAAAACAACATCTGTAAACACAAGCTTAAACATTATTCAGAGGTGTCAGGTGCTCTCTAAGAACCACGATTACTAGACTTAAGAATGTCAGATCAAAGAAATATAGATCCTGCCCTCACAAATCTTCCTGAATTATCTAACAATCTTGGTCCATGGGTCTTTGAGGCCCAAACAGTTGAAAGCAAAGGAAGAAAAAAAAAAAAATCAGGGGCCTCCTTGGTGGCACAGGGGTTAACTCTCAGTGCTATCAAGCTACAGCCAGCCACTGTGGCATGAATTCGATCCCAACAGATACCTGGCCAGGCAGCTACCCACATGGCACAGCAGACCTCTTCGGTCTCGCCCACTGCTTCCCTCAGCAGTGTATTTTGTCAGTCTGCCTGTTCTAATCCCCACTCTGTCTCTGGTAAATCCTTTCACCCCCCACCTCACTGGCCTACACCCCAGTTCTTCTATGCAAAAATTAAGTATTTTTTAAAAATCAAGAAGAGACTACTACATTCAAGCAAACAGGTAAAAAATAGCACAAAGAGTTAATATCCTGATAAGAAACAGGAAAATTACATAAAGCAGAATTCAAAAATACTGTAGGCCATTTCACACTAGGTCTCATAGAAATAGATCCATATGTTTTCACTACGTAAAATAACAGTCTTTGAGCAGCAGTTCTCCTGCCCACATGCAACCATGCAAGTGTTGCTCTACACCAACCTTCTTCCTTTGCAAGGCAGCGCTCCTCCCAAGACTGTGACTATGCCCACCTGTGACTACGCAGGCCTCTTTTAACAAACCTGTCCTTTTCAGGGACAACTCTTTCTGCCCACTTGTGTCTGTGCAAGCATCCCTGACTCCCCTTCCCTTTTTATAATAAACACAGCCAGACGGGGGACAGTGTCAAAAACAAAACTGTTCTGTGTCCTATGTGAAGGCCGCCTGAGAAGCACACCAACACAAGAAATTCATAACTGATTCAAAATTGATAAAATACTTGATAATGAGCAGTTAGGACTATAACTACCATTCTCAATGTATTGTATAGGCTATGAAGCAGAATCACATATTATAAACAAATTATAGTCACAGTCTCTAGCTACTCAAGTTCTTAAGAGATTAGATTTTGTTTGCATCAACCATCTCTGTCAATTGTATTCACACATTTCACGAATGTCTCCACACGAGAAAATAAAAACAAACCTCTATACAAATTAAAATTTTAATAACCATTTTGACAATTTTATTTCAAAGAAATTACATTTGATGTAATGTTCACTATTAGTCTAGAATATACTTAAAAATTAAACGCAAATCCTAAATTATTACTTTTAATAGTATTCTGAATTAACATTCAGCCACCATGTATTACCTTGTAAAATGCCTGCCATTAGTATGCTTCTCTGTTAGCGCCATATTTTTATCAAAACTAGAATCTGAGGAATTCTGTGCATTCTTTTTCAAAGATCTTAAGGCACGTGTCCGGTGATAGGTTTCAACTTCCTTAACTGAAGATCCATCCTGTAAGAAAAATTAAGAAAGTCATCCAAGTTTTTCTTTAGTCAATATCCTCAAGTTAAACTCCTAAGAATTTTCTCTGATTATAACTTGTTAACTGCTTTTTGAGTGGAATCATTTTGTATCTGTCCACAAAAACAACAGTAGTTAATAGATCTAAGACTAATAATCAGTAATGTCATTTAGCAATGAAATGGCTAAATATAAGATTTACTGATGGCTTTTAACTACTTGATAGCAAGTGTTCTAGAGAGTGAAATTTTCCACAGCTGATAAAAAATTCCAATAGTTCATTAATAATAAGTAGTCCTTTATTTTAAGGTTATAGAATTTAGACACAGGACCTCCCTTAGTAGTGCAAGGTGTTAACTGTCAGCACTGTGAGGCGATCCACAGCCACTACAGCTTGAGTTTGATCCCCAACCAGGGAGGTGATCCACATGGCGCAGCAGACCTCTCCTGTCTCACTTGCTGCTCCCCTCAGCGGAGTATTTCAGTCAATCTGCCCGTTCTGTTCCCCACTCTGTCTCTGGTGAATCCTCTCACTCCCCCACCCCCAACCTCTGGCCTGTACCTCAATTCTTGTATGCACAAATAATCTTTAGGAAAAAAAAAAAGAAATTAGATACACACACACACCCCACCACCACCACCGTATGCCATGAAACCAGTGGCCGCATACCTTATAATAAACTGGCCCCATCAAAATTGGAACTTTGGCTAGAATGCCAAAAAGTAGTTATTAGTACCCATTTCACCCAGGTAATGCAAACAGTTCAAGTCAGAGACTGTTTAGCTATGTTAATCTACTAGAAAAACCACAGAGGTCTACATAACTTTATTTTGGCTCAATAGACTAGAGGCTCTCTAGTGGGTTGCTTTATAAGGAACAGAGGTTCTGTCACAAAGTGTTCAAAAGTTTATACACGTGTCTCTGAAATATATAAAAGATAATTTTAATTAGAAGAGAAGGCAAAAATACTTTTATCAGGACATTTTGTCATTTAATTTTGTTTCAGGCAGAAAATGTGATTGCTCACAAGTAAAATACAGGTTTTACACTAAAGGATTTGTTTAAGAATTAGACAGGTACTACATACAACATTAAGTGTTGTGCATTAAGTGTGATTTGTTACACCTTTATCAGTGTACTTACATCTAAGGACGTTTGGGGAAAAAAAAAAAAAACATTTTTAGGTAGATGTCTCATTAGGAAAAGCTTAAGAAAATGTACTTTTAGGCCTCCCTGGTGGTGCAAGGGGTTAAGCACCACACTATGAGGCAATCCGCAGCCTCTGCAGCAAGAGTTTGATCCCAGGCAGGCTGGCCAGAGAGAAACCACATGGCAAAGCAGACCTCTCCTGTCTTGCCTGCTGCTCCCCTCAGCAGTGTATTTCAGTCAGTCAGTCTGCCTGTTCTGTTCCCCCTCAGTCTCTGGTGAATCCTCTCACATCTCTGGCCTGTACCCCAGCTCTTGGATGCATAAATATATAAATCTTAAAAAAAAAAAAAAAAAAAGTACTTTTAGATTCTCCACTTCCATAAATACTTTTTCTTAAAACTAATGTGCCTGAGAATGCACCTTAACACAAGGCATCCTTTCACTGACCCTCTTCCCATTTTACAAAAGAAAAGTCCTCTCATTCTGAATCTTACTATTGTGGATTACCTGAAGGCATTAAAAACCTTCAAAGGTGTAGGTGTTAAGAAATTGAATGACTAAGCTAGGCAAAAAATTCTTTTCCTTTGTTAGTGGCTTCCAATTCTCTGCTTTCAACAACATTGAAAGGAGGCCTAATCAAGCAAAGAGACCACTAAAAATAGTTTTTGGCAGATGATTTTCAGCATATAAGCTGGAAAAACTGAGTGAGTGGCAGGCACTACTAAACAAAACTCTTTATTACTATCTGGTTATTCATATGAACAATATTTCTCAGTGCTTACTTACATATATAAAAACAATGAAACCGATGCAGAGCACTGTCTTCAGCAATAGGTTCACCCACAGATAGATGAACTAACTGGGTAAGGGGATGGTGAACCACATGAAATCTTAGTGAGTCTTATTTTCTAATCATTTCTGGATCAAAATAGAGAATGTGTTTCTCTTTAGATAGATCAATCAATCATTAGTAAGTATAATTAACTCAATCCACAAAAATTTTATTTCTTGAAACCTTGTAGTGACAGAAAAGTTGGGGTAAATTTCGCTTTACAAGTATGAAATGGTAATTAATGAGCACAAAAATATATCATACTAAAATACTGTGGGTTAAGTAGATTGGGGAAAAAACAATAAAAGGTAAAATTTCTGGCTACTAAAAGAGCTTGTTCATGTATTATTTTTTTAATGTTTCAAGACAAATATGTCTTGAAATTTTTAGACAAATATGTCTTCCAATTTTTAGATTCCAGTGAATACACATGAAAGTCTGATATAACAGTTTTTTTTTTCAAGTCAACATTAAAAATTATAGACTTTTTAACAATTTAAATCAATGGTGAGTTGGGGGCCTCAGATGGCAGGGTTTTTTTTTTTTAAGATTTATTTATTTATGCATACAAGAGCTGGGGTGCAGGCAACAGATGTGGGGGCTGAGAGGATTCACCAGAGACAGAGTGGGTAACAGAACAGGCAGATGTACTGAAATACACTGCTGAGGGGAAGCAGTGGGCGAGGCAGGAAAAGTCTGCTGTGCCATGTGGGTCAGCTCCCTGGCCAGGGTTATAGCTTCACAGTGCTGAGACCTAAGACTTATGCCACCAGGAAGGTCAAGTGGTAGCTTTAAAACACAGCAGAGCATATAGAGCTTCAAAAAGGCAGAGATTTTTTGAAGAAAACAAAGGGGCGAAAGTTTTGTGACACTGAACTTGGGAATGATTTCTTGAGATTATGACAACAAAAGCATATACAACAACAAAATGTTTAAGTTAGACTCCATCAAAATTAAAACTTTTATGCAAAAGACACTATCAACAATGTGAAACAGAAACCCAGGAAATAGGAGAACAAGCTTGCAAATCACATACAAGGGATTGAGATCTGGAATATATTAAAAACTCCTAAAGAATGGCAAAAAATGGGCAATAGACATTTCTCCAAAAAATAAATGCAAATGACCAATAAACACATGAAAAGATGCCTCACATAGGCCACCACAGGAAATAGAAATCAAAACCACACTGGTACCACTTCACAGGCACTAAGAAGGCTCAAAAAGAGAAAAATAAGTGTTGGGGGATGTGGAAAAACTGGGACTCTTGCACACTGCTAGTGGGAAAATACAGCAGTATAACTGCTGTGGAAACAATAGTGTAATTCCTCAAAAAATTAAACATATTATTATACCATATGATCCTAGCAATTCCATATACCAAAAAAAAAGTAAAAGCAGGGATTTAAACAGAGAATTTGTATAGCCATGTTCATAGTAGCATCATTCACAATAGTCAAAAGGTGAAAGCAATCCATGTGTCTATCGACAGGTAAGTGGATAAACAAAATGTGGTACATATCAATACAACAGAGTATCATTCATCTTTAAAATGGGTATTTTAACACCTCATGCAACATGGATAACCTCTGACTTTCAAAATGAAGTAAGTCAATCATAGAAAGACAAATACTGTATGTTTCCTCTTATGTGAGGCTCCTAGGGTAGTCAAATTTGTAGACAGAAAATAGAACTGTGATTGCCAGCCTCTGAGAGGAGAGAATAGGGAATTAGTGGTTAACGGGTACAAAGTTTCATTTTTGGAAAATGAAAAAATTTGGAGATAGACTGTGGTGACTTGCAGAAGAATGTGAATGTATTTAATGCTACAGAACTGTACACTTAAAAAGTTAAAACTTATGTTTTATTACAATAAAAAAAGAAAGTAAATGTCATATTCCTGGGGATAATAAAAAAGGTTTGTTTCCATAGAAAAAAGAAAAGGGTTGTTACAGTAGGGGGAAAAGGTTCCCTGAGAAATCTGGAAGATTTAATCTCAGAAGTAGTGTAAGTGAATCTCTGACTTACATAGTGAGTTGGCCTCACTACATAAACAGGCATCAAGAAAGGCTCTCAGGCCTCCCTGGTGGCGCAGTGGTTGAGCACAGGGTTGCAAAGCTGCCCGCAGCCTCTGCGGCGCCGGTTCAATCCCCGGCCCCCGGGCAAGGGTCCCACATGGCGCGCAGACCTCTCCTGCCACCCGCTGCTCCCCTCAGCAGTGTACTTCGGTCCCTCTGCCTGCTCTGCTCCCCGCTCTGGCTCTGGTGAATTCTTTCCCCCTCCTGCGTGAATTCTTTCCCCCTCCTGCGTGTCTGACTGTACCCAGTGCTTGCATAAATAAATAAATAAATAAATAAATAAATAAATATATCTTTAAAAAAAAAAAAAGGCTCTCCTTCGGTGGTGACTGATAACTACACCTGAGGGGAGAAATCCTACACTGTGAGAAAAAAAAAAAAAAGATGTAAAAATAACAGTAAGTCATTAAAAATAAATAAAAATTTTTAAAGAAATACCAAAAAGAAAAAAAGAAAAGAAAGGTTCTCCTTAAAAAGTCACCTATAGAGAGGTACAAGTGAATCACCTATTTTATACATTGGGGAACTTAAAAATTCCGTTAACTTTCAAAAACGTTTGTTATAAAAGCAATACACACCCATAATAATTGGAAAAATGAAGACTGCACTAAAGTGAACTTTCCCCAGTTTGGGCAATCCAAAACCACTATTAACCTTAGCATAGTTCTTAAGAGAAAGTCACATTTTAATACAGCTAACCAAAGTAATTCTGGAGCGTTAAACTCCCAGTGTTAACGATAATTAACTCTGGATAGAAATGAAACTTTCAATTTGTTTTTTACGTATTTATAAAATGTATTACTAGAAAAAAATTTAAGAAGTAAAAAAGAAGACATACTTAATCTGAAAACTAAACCTGGATACATATGGTATTCTCATTTAAACTTTGGTTAAAATCTAATTAAATACTGAGTTTTGATAGTTTTTTTTTTTTTCCCAAAAGATTTATTTATTTATTTATACAAGCACTGGGTACAGTCAGAAGCACAGGAGGGTGAGAGAATTCACCAGAGCCGGGAACAGAACAGGCAGACTGACGAAATACACTGCTGAGGGGAGCAGCGGGCGCGGCAGGAGAGGGCTGCACACCAGGTGGGACCTTCAGCGGCCCGGGGATCGAACTGGCGCCACAGGCCAGTTCTCAACCACTGCGCCACCGTCACCGGGGAGGCCCTGTTGATAGTTTTTTGAAAGTTGAATTTTTAAAAATAAAAGACACAACATGTTGAATTTTAAGTCTGTTATATTGAAAAGGTGAAGTTTTAGCAAAGGTTTGAAGGGAACAGATTCCCAGGTTACCCTAGAACTCAGTTCCATGGCTTACTACAAAGGTGAATGTGGCAAGTTATTTATTATCTCTGCACCACTGTTCTCTCATTGCAAAACAAAGACAATCATACTGACTTGATTCAAGTTATGAGAACTGAGTTACTATAAGAATCTTGGAACACATCAAACATGATGGGTTCTGAGCTTTTTTTTTTTTTTTTTTAATTTAAAAAATGGTAATTGAGCGCTGGGTTGCCAGGCAGCCTCTGCAGCGCTGGTTCGATCCCTGGCCACCCGCGAGGGTCCCACCAAAAAAAAAAAAAAAAAAAAAAAAAAAAAGGTAAAAGGTAAGGAATGGAGCAGGCAAATATTCACGGGAAGAGTATTCCCAAAGAGGTTAGAACAAGTGCACAAAGGCCTGGGTATTCAAGGACAGCTAGGCCAGTGTACTGTTAAAAGACTGAGTTTTTTGGGCCTCCCCGGTGGCGCAGCGGTTGAGCGCTGGGTTGCGAACCTGCCCGCAGCCTCTGCGGCGTCGGTTAGATACCCGGCTGCTCCCCAGCCACCAGAGGAGGGTCCCACATGGCGCGCAGACCTCTC